TTCGAATGCTTTACAGCATCCATGGTCACGGGAGAGACTGAGGTGTTACATGTCTTAAAGATATAGTTGTTACAGACAGCCTACCCACAATTAACAAAATGAAAATTGCACCAATTACATTACAATATTTTAACTTTAAATATTTTTATAATTTTAATTATAATTGAATATGGAAAATTATTTATTTAATTTTTGCTATTATTTTTGTAATTATTACAATTTTAAAATATTAATTAGTAATCTATATTTTTAGTGTTGCCATTATTATATTTATAACCATAAGAAAAATATAAAATATAGTATTAATTATTTAAGCCACAATTGATCTATGTGTAATTTGAAAAAGTTAAGATTAATTAAAAATAATAATTTTAATTTAAATTTGCTATTATTTAAAAACAAATTATTAAGCAACACATTACTACATACATTTACAAATGAAAAAGTGAAAAAATATTATTAATCAGAAATGCTATATTTCTATGGCTTCTCGAATCATTCTAGGGCGATATCGGTTTTCTTTCGCCAGGATTTGAGGTCTATCGAAGCGAATATAAACAAACACAGTCAGGACCGCCCAAGCCATTATATTCGCTTCGATAGACCTCAAATCCTGGCGAAAGAAAACCGATATCGCCCTAGAATGATTCGAGAAGCCATAGAAATTAAAAAACATCCTAATTTCAATAGGGAAGATGGCTGGGTACTACCATCGTCATGGGATCCTGTTATTAATATAATAAAATCTAATAATAAATCTAAACATAACAGACAGGTAGATGTAGTAAGTTCTTACTGTGTAGATCAAAATGATAGCATTTCTGATTAATAATATTTTTTCACTTTTTCATTTGTAAATGTATGTAGTAATGTGTTGCTTAATAATTTGTTTTTAAATAATAGCAAATTTAAATTAAAATTATTATTTTTAATTAATCTTAACTTTTTCAAATTACACATAGATCAATTGTGGCTTAAATAATTAATACTATATTTTATATTTTTTCTTATGGTTATAAATATAATAATGGCAACACTAAAAATATAGATTACTAATTAATATTTTAAAATTGTAATAATTATAAAAATAATAGCAAAAATTAAATAAATAATTTTCCATATTCAATTATAATTAAAATTATAAAAATATTTAAAGTTAAAATATTGTAATGTAATTGGTGCAATTTTCATTTTGTTAATTGTGGGTAGGCTGTCTGTAACAACTATATCTTTAAGACATGTAACACCTCAGTCTCTCCCGTGACCATGGATGCTGTAAAGCATTCGAAACGTCGGAAAACAAAAATACAAGTAAATCCGCGACAAAATCCGAAAAGATAGTTTTATTTAGAATATAAGCTATTTAAAAAATCATTTTTTCTTACCATCTAAGTTACCTATGCACAGCACCTGGTCGCAGGTTCGACCTCAGAATAAATATACTGTCCATACACATGTTCTGTCTGCTTAAAGAATGCAAGCCGTCAATGTGGAAAGCTAAGGACACAGTGGGTAGATGGATATGGGAATAAATGTGAACATGATCTTCCTCATTTTTGAAAAATCTTTCAAAACAGCCCATGTTAACATTAAATAAATATTTCTGACTAAAGATATAATATGGAAGCCGATCCGAGATACAGTCACAACCGTGTTTTATATTAATATTACGATATGACACTCGAATTAAATGAAAAATACTTTACTTAGAAATAAGCTGCAGAATCAGCAATGGCGGACAATAACCTCTTACTTGTACGAGTGGGTAATTTAATTTTTATATAAAGTCATTTACAGTATGTTGACCTTCACAAAATGATTAAATAAAAAATAACTGATTGAAAACTCTTAATTTGATGGTGAATGTCACATAATTATGTATTTAGCAAAATCAAAGTGATACCACATAACTTTTTAGCTTAATAAAAGATAATAATTTAATAATTAAATTATTGTACAACATTTAATTATTATGTTATATAATATTTATATTAAATAAATTAAAATATTAAAAAACGCCCGACCATCTTGGACCGTTTTTCATCAAACATAGCTAAGAACACTCCTGCCTAATTCACTTTTCAAACAAAAAAAAACAAAATCAAAATCGGTTCATCAGTTGGGGAGCTACGATGCCACAGACAGACACGCACACAGACACGTCAACCTTATATCACCCCATCGTTTTTGAGTCGGAGCTTAAAAATAAATATTTTAATAATTAATAAAAATATATGCTCTACCAAGAAACTGAAATGCATGCGTTATCGCATTACCTTGAGTTATGTAACTGTAACAGCAGCAGGACGAACTTAAAACACAAGCGACGTAGGTACTTTTACTGTTCAACGAGTTTCTTTGCTAACGGTACACGATAAATAAAACTGTTGTGGCGACCTTGAGATATCTGTTTTTCGTCTACCTTTTATGTCCAAAATTTATGGAGAGAACGAACTTCCAGTAAATAAAATAGCACATAAAAATCAGGAAGCAAATAAATAAGAAGAAAAGTGGAAAACAGCTAAATAAAGGAGTAACTGCCTATCTAATACTTCAGACATCAACTTATATACTACTAGTATTACCCGCGGCTCCGCCCGCGTTCAGATGACCAAAAACCAAATTCTTAGGTTTTACATATTAGTATACTCTTACGTTGCAGTTTTTTTATCTTTTCTCAGAAATGAGACATTTTCCCGCAGTCAAAAGTATCCTATGTGTTGACCCGGAAAACCAGCTATCACCATACCAAATTTCATCAAAATCCATCCAGTGGTTTTTTTGGGATGCGGTAACAGACAGACAGACAGACAAAAATTCTAAAAACTATAGATTCGGCCTCTGTATCGATAATAATGTTTATTTCAATAAGATTTTCCATAAAATATTTAATGTACAGATTCGGCTTTGTTATAATTTTATTATAGGTATGTATAAATAACGTTCATGCAGTTTTCTTTTTATTTATTACGTATTAATCCATCCTACTCAGTGTTGTTTATACATATTACATTTATTTGTTTCTGATAATCGTACCCACGACTCCTGTAAGTGATACCAAAAGCTCAAACATTCATTTATTTATTAACGTTAAGGTTCAGTCGAGAACAGCCATCTTCTTTGTATTTTTAAAGAAGATAAGATCATAAAAACATAAATACATCGTTTTACTAATAAGAACATAAGGAAACAACTCCACATAAATTCAAACACAGAGTAACGACAAAAATTAATTATTTAAATTAAAATTAGTTATTTCTTATGGATGTCCATTTATTTTACATGTTTGAGAAGCATACATATATAGCGTGGTCAATAAATAAATGTAAATGCGACAACACACGTGCATCTGGCGCATACACCTTGTATAAGGCACGGAACGCCTAAAGCGAGATGCGCGCGGTAAATAAGAATAACGGTGCTTTTACAACCTCTAAAGCCACCCGCGACCCGTCCTGTCGCCCGCCAGCCTCGGAACATTGCCAATTCCCATTGCTCAAGACTTAGCATCGGAATTTCTCACTTGTACGAATATAAATATATTTACTATTCATTTTCAGTATACATACCGTAAGCTGGGTCCTTTGAAGATCGTGTCATTATTAAGGAAGATAGTTACGATGTAACCTTTGCCCCGGTAACGAGCGGTCGATGCTTCCATCATATTATATCGACATAGCCGTACACTTTTTATTAGCACGAGGTCAATGCTAAACCACCTCTTACGTTATGATGCTGAGATTAATATTGGATAATTAGGAACATTGAAATTATAAACGGAACTGTAAAAACTTGGGACGGTCTGAAATTGCACTCGCCAATTCGCAACAGGAAAAGTATAGGATCAATTAGGTAGAGGTTTGTGAAATAACACCAATTTATAGAAGTAATCAATGTTTATTAACATCATGATGAGGACAAAAAGTAACAGCATCAAATTTGTTTCAAAAATGAATAAAAGGAATTTGTTACAATAATATTCATCGTGTATATAGTAGTCACTCATTTCATCACTTCGTTATCTATAGTGAAACAAGAGGTCGAGCTTTTCATTGAATTGTTCTGCATTGTGCAAAACAAATACAATAATATATAACAGATTTGTCTTTGAATACGTTACAATAAAATGATTTTATTACAGATAGTAAAAGTGTGTATATTTTAAACATTTAACAAAAGTATATGTTTGTATATGTATATTTATAATGAGATATAAGACCGTGATGGAATATTTGTCCAGTGTTTAATTCTTATTGCTAAGATCCTTCTATTCTGCAGTCGTTAAAATGACAATGAACAATTAGTTATTCGATTTAAAATTAAAAATTACTGAGCGAAAGAAAATTCGTCAAATGGCACTATTTAGCTTAAAATTGGATAAAATAACACATATATATGTTATTATAAAAATTTCATTTCGTTTCATTTATATTTAAAAGACGTGCTAAAGTTATTAAAAGCTAGCAAAGATGCGAGATAGTGGTGGTACTGAACGTTAAAACTGGCAACTGTTAAAATTGTGGAAACAGTGAAGAACTAAGAGTGGAAAACATTACAAACGTTTACGTCCGATGCATTAAAAATATCATCTACATATAAAAAAATATTGATTTATTACAAAAATGTAAACAAAAAAAAATAGCTCAGCAAAACCGATTTAGCCGCGCTAAATAATTAATCAAGAAGCTAAAAAGTATTAAAAAAAAAGACAAAAATAATATTAACAATGAAAATGTGGCCCAGGAACACTGAGGTGGAATCCTAAAGCTCTTAACGAAATTAATTAATATTATATCTCTCTATTGGTGTATTAGTTTTACTTACACTATTCAATTCCTACACTAGGGTGGTGCGCTCGCAGCGCCGCGGCGTCGACAGCGGATGGTTGACGACAATAATCCATTTCCATTCTAAATCTAACTTAATTCATAGCGAACTCGCGTCAAAAATGATAAATCATTTTGAATAACTAAATATAGGCTTCAGGTTTCATTTAACTAATTAACATCTGGAGTAGCACCCGCCGATTTCTCGCTCTGCAACAAATTTTATATGACTTGCATAAAGCTGTTAAATCAATAATCTTTTCCTTTTAAATGGGCTAAGCTCGTTTGAATGTTTTAGATAAATTCATAAAATATGCATTACGATCGAGTCTTCATAAAAGCACTTCCCAAAGTCAAAGTTTTTCATACATACTATGTCTATAAATTATAAATCGATATTAAATTTTGCTATTAATAAACCAACACAAGTTAACAAACATGGAAGCGAATAAAACCGATAAAATAGGTACGTAAATAAATTAACATTATAGCACCCGCAACGCTACGTTAACGTAAAGATAGAGAAAAGCGATAAAAAATTGATTTACAATGAAAAAATCGTTTTACTACAAAATGTTTCAATAGTAATCAATAAACTCAATCAAATTTTTTTTTTATTACTAAAAAGATTTTTACACGTGCATATAAAGAATGGGGTCAGAAATGGTAGCTTTAGTATTTACAATATTTATATATAAATATTATCGTAGTAATTTATAATTAAATTGCTTATTTATATAATTAATTATTACCAAGAGATGCCCCTGTGGTCTGGTGGTTAGCGCGTACGGTCACGGATCCTCTGACTCTGGGTTCAAGTCCCGGGTGGGGTCACGTTTAGTCATTGAGAATTTATGTCAAGAAATTTTCAGTAACAGAAGTAGTCGTTCCACCGGAGTGTGAGTGTAAGGAATAGAGAGAACGCTTGTGTTTGCGCGCACACGCGCTGCACTATAATATCTCTTCTGTCTTAATGAGATTGGCCGCCGCGACCGAAATCAGTCGGAAGGACATTATTATTATTACTAGCGACTCACCCTCGCTTCGCTCGGGTTCGTCCCTAGGTACAGTAATTTTTTTTGAGCGGAACTCTAATTCTTTTACTGAAATAAAAGTAGCCTAAGTTACTCCTTATAACATCAACTACTTGCCAGTGATAGTCCCTCCAATATCGGCCCAGTAGTTTCGGAGATTAGCCGGAACAAATGCATTTCGTAAAAAGCTGTTATTTTGACATTACAAACAAACACTGCAATTTTATTTAATTGTATAATAGATTACTAGCAAGAGAATTGAATAGAATCGTGTGTTAACTCACAGTCAGGTCGGTGTGCAGGCCGGCCCACTGCACGAAGGAGGGCAGGTCGCGCGCCGGCAGCTCGGCCGCCAGCGCCTTCACGCGCAGGTTGCGGTCGTCCGTCAGCAGCACCACCTCGCGCACGCGCCGCGCGCACTCCCCGCCCGCGCCGCCCGCCGCGCCCGCCTCGCCCGTGCGGTTTTCTTTTAACAAATTATATAAAATCAACATTGTTGAAGTTATACTTCTTTTGGCACGTTTGGAAAAAAATATAAGAGTAAAATTTTACCGATGCGCGCGCACTCCGGCAGCCAAAAAGCAAGGCTAAGTCGCTAGTCAGTCAGGCTAAGTCGCATTTTATTGTCATTCATAATAGTCCAAAATAAGGTTGTTATAGGGAAAAATGGAAATATTTCAGAGAAAATTGAGACAATTTGGGAGGAACTAAAACTGCTTTTTGTAAACAATTTTGTATGACCTTATCTATATAATATCATAAATAAATGCCTTGACATTAGGACTGAATGACGTTAATCGGTTCAGTTAATCAACAATAGATGCACTAGATATTTCAATATTAAAACTTAAAAAAAAAAAAAATATCTAACACATAGTCTATAATCCTATTCAAATTCCAATTATATGGGCAGTTTTAAAAGTCCTATAAATAGTAAAACAATATAAATAAATTACCAGAGTCGTTGAGGTTAGCCTGTAGATTGAGCGCGGTGGCGAGAACGCGGTCGTCATTGGTGGTGCGCGCCTGGTCCTGCTCCGCCGTGAAGGCGAGGCCGCGCGCCGCCAGCAGCGAGCCCCGCGCCGTGGCCAGGCGCACGCCCCCCGCGCCCCCCGCAGCCCCCGCACCCCCCGAACTTATCCACGCCAAGGCCGCGCGCGCCGCTTCCCCCAACCGAGAGCATTTCCTTAACCCCTCCAGTTCTGATACCACTGTTAAGTTTAAATTATTTAGTATGTCTTTAAAAGTTTGTAATGTGCCACAAATATCTGTCTTGAACAAATAATAACTGACAGGAGATTAGATGAGAGATAGGAGATGAAGCAATAAATTTCTTAAATCGTGCCTTTCATCAAAAATTTAATAATTCAATAGATAGTTATGGAACATGGCGAATGCTAAAGTCAAGTATAAACAAACAGAATACGTGATTTACTATATTTATAGTTCATCTTATTGAGAAATCAGTGCGAAATCACTGATGTATGCTATGCGCGAACACTAGTTTGACAGCTGATTTTAATTCACGAGATTTAAGCGATCAAGCAATCAGATCGAGAACTAGATCCAACTCATTTCTATTTGCGATGTCGTTGGAGATACGTGGCAAGTGGCGAGTACGAGTCCACATGCATGATTCAACCGTTAACGGGACCGATATAACACAATAAAGTCAGATTGTAATTATGTATATATATAACGTACCCTGTACCGAGCTCGTTAAGTAAGGATAGTCAATAAATATTTATAGAAGTTAACATAAAACTATGGAACCCACAGAGGGTTATTTTAATATAATAAGGACTTTTACTGCGATGATCATAGTTAATTAAAAATCCCATAATAAGCTAGCAACTACTTCCAGGTTTTGATTACATTAATTTATATGATATCAAAATATTTTCATAATTAACCATAAAAAGTTTCATATTTCAGTATATTATATTTTTAATTGTTAATTACGAATAACATCCACATTACTAAATTTTATATACATTAAACATATAAAAATTAGGCAGTTAGGAATGAGCTAAATTATAAAGCAGAGATTAGTGTACAAGAGAGAGAATAGAGCAAAAACCGACTTCAAACAAAAGCACTAAAAAGTAAAAAATAACTGATTGGTAGTTTTCATTTACTATACATACCTAATCAAATATTTTCTAAGTCGGTGTGCTTTGCTTTGTATGGGCTGGCACCGATTTCGAAAATATTTGATTAGGTATGTATTTAATAGGTAGGCTTTAATTACTTAGCCAATGCACACCGACTTCGAAAATATTTGATTAGGTATGTATAGTAAATGAAAACTGACAATCAGTTATTTTTTACTTTTTAGTGCTTTTGTTTGAAGTCGGTTTTTATTTTTTTGTTAAAAAGTTTTTATTTTTCCTTCTTAGTGTAGACAGTAGTAGCAAAGTAAGAATTCTAACGTGTTAGGCTTGTCAAATCAAACAAATAAGCCCAAACTAGCCTAGTATCTACTATTAGCCGTTGAAGTGTTGTTGAGTGCCTAGTATCTACTATTAGCCGTTGAAGTGTGTTAACCTTCTGGCCTTACCATCAGATCAGGTCAACAATACCGAACCACTGTACTATCAACGGAAATAGGAACACTTGCAAAGTTTCAAGTCAATATGACAATTAGAAGTAGGTTAAATTCATTATTAGCTATTTTTCCACCCTTAGGGGTGGTATTTTTTTTTTTAATTTAAATGGGACCAATCTGGAAGTATACACTTTAAAACAACACAAAAATTGTCCAAATCGGTTAATAAATAACGGCGTTCTGAGGTAACAAACATAAAAAAATACAGTCGAATTGAGAACCTCCTCCTCTTTGAAGTCGGTTGAAAAAGACAATGTAGTTGTAATAATGAGAATAAAAGAAAAATAAAAAATTACACGAAATTGTTTAGTTTAAAAATTGTAAATTTTAGTATTTCAGTTATTGTTAGTTCATGTAATATGTGTTGAGTAAAAGTTAAATTATAATCAGTAAGTACTCGCTCCTCATTGTTACTGTAGGTTGGATCTCGTTTTTGTAATATTAAGTTTTGCAAATTTTATATGCATGTTGTCTGCATATAGGAAAATATAATCCCGTAATTGTTATAATTTTTATACATGTGTTTGATTGTCATTTGTTTTGTGGACCAATAAACAAAAAAAACACAGCAGACAGAGTAGTAGTACAGAGGATAGTGACTACAGACCGACTAGAGGCACGGCGAGCGTGTAGGCGGCGGGGCGCGCCGCGGCCTGCAGCAGCGCCAGGTGGTCGATGAAGCAGTTGGTGTCGGGCACCAGCCAGCGCGGCCGCACCTCCATCTCCACGCTCACCCAGCCGCTGCCCAGCATCTCCTGCAACAGAAATACCATGTAGTAAATCATTTCTTAATATAGGTATGTATACTAGCGACTTATTCTCGTTTCGCTCAGATACATTCCAAAGTATCTTTTTGCTTTATGTATTCAACCCTTTTTAACGTCCCACTGCTGGGCACGGGCCTCCCTTCAGTACGAGGGGGATCAGACCATAGTCCACCACGCTCGCCAAGTGCGAAGTCTTTCGAAAACTTGCTAGGTTCTCTCAGACATACAGGTTTCCTCACGATGTTTTCCTTCACCGTAAGGCAAGTAGTAATAGTGTCATGATTCACATGATAAAATGATTCACATGTGAAAATATCAGAAAAGAAGGGAGAACTCGCTTCACTCGGTTTCCCAAGCGAGCGCGTTACCACTGGGCTACCACTGCCTTTACCTTATAACAAATGCCAATTAAGCAATTCAATGGCTAGATTTCCACTTTCCAACATTAAACACAATATTATGGCAATAAAAAATAGTGCACGGCGGTAATGTAGCTTCCTATTAATGAAAGATTTTTTAGAATCTGATCAGTAGTTTTAGAGATTACCTCCTACAGCGAAACTTACAAATACTCTCTTCCTTTTTATAATATTTGGGTAGTTTTTATATTTCTTTTTGGCTTTCAGAATATTATTATTCTCCTAATTAAATTAAAAAAAAATCGCACAAGTGCCATAAGTATGTTGTTCAATTCACTTTTTAGGTAAAAAGCATAACAAAAATATAGAAACGCTTATTAATTGCCGCTAGCAAAATCTAGTTTGTATTTCACAATAAATAATTCTTACAGATGCGATTAAACAAAGTTAAATTAAGACCACTAAATTATGAAAGCATGAAAGCGAAAATATCTCATACATCAAAAACAACTCAATGTTCAATATTATTATATCCACCAAAATATTTTCCGTTAAAAGTATTATATTTTTAAAGCTACATTGCCTCTTTCAATTTCAAAGATTTTTACCTCTACTTTGAAAGTTAGAGGGAGGGGCAACTTTATTTACTGCTGTTTAGAATTGTATAACTTGGCAATTATCGCCTTAAATAGAAAACTCATGTAAACACGTATCTTTATAAAGACGTATCGGATGTAAAGAGACCACACAAGATTGTATTATACTTTTTTCCGAAACGGTAGACAGTAATGAAATGCGACACAATTTTTCATTTTTGTAATTTGGCTATCTTCCGATTTTCAACTTTATAGTATACTAGCGACTTACCCTCGCTTTGCTTAAGTGCGTTCCTAGATGACTAACAATAGCCACTTTCTTTCGACTTCAATTAAACTTACATATTTAGCATTCTTATAAGTGAAAGATAGAGATAAAAAATTACCTATAGCATTCTTATAAGTGAAAGATTTTTCAGAATCAGATCAGTAGCATTCAAAGATTACGCACTACATACAAACTTACAAACTTTTTCTCTTTATAAACTAGTGTAGAGAATTATAGGCACAAGGAAAACTACTATGACGGACAAACTGACACGACGTAATTATAGTTTCATTTTGCCCTTTGGCTACGAATCCCTAATAAAAAAGTAAAATAATTATCATAAACATTCTGAATAATAAATATCACAGTAAGCCAGTAAAAAAATTTTTTTTTTTGAGAATTGTGCAACCATGTAGACATATAATTATTTTAACATACGAGTAAAATATATGTACGTATCTACTTTTATCACTCATAAATTTTTCATTACCTTTAAAATTATTATAAAAACAAATAGAAATTTTCACATTCACATACATCGTTAGCGAGCCCTTAGGCGTGTAATTAATAACAACATTATGCACTCTCATAGAATTAATGAATTAAAAACACACGCGCGCAGCTTAGTGCACTCGAACGTAGTGGAAACTAATTAAAGAGCTTTTTTAAAATACTTTAGTGTACTTAAATTAGATTTAGTACGGAAAAGTGACGAGGGTAAAAAATAAAAATGACATAAAAGTCCAATTAATCCAATAGTTTACGATCCAAAGTAAGGTTGACCTTCACCTATCATCATTTATCATCTCATGAAGAAATATAGATACAGAGTATATAAATAAAAATAAACATTATTATTATAACAAAAATTTCTTTTATTAAAATTATTGCCCTTTCAAAAATAAGTTTTAAAGTTTAATTTACTTTTTTGTCAGCATTCACTGATACGCCGAGTCTTCCTATTCAACACCGTACGGCGCACATACTTTATCACACATCCTGCTTTATCCAGTAATTTTCAAACAATGACAACTTTTTGATAGGAAAAAGTATGAAATGAGCAGTAGTATTTGGCTAACACAACTGCGATATTTTTGTTTATGTATTATATTTAACACAAAATATTAACTCCCTATCCAAAAGCACTTAATTCAAATCTTCTACAACAGATTATGTCAAAAGCATTTTTAAAGATAAATATCTTCAGGACCCACCTGCATTCTCTGCTTGCGTCGTTCCAGCGTGGCCTTGCGCGTCTCAAGCTGCTCCTTCCTGCGCAGCAGCTTGCGCGTGGCCTCGTCCGCGTCGGGCGGCGCAGCGCGGCCGGCCGGCCCACGGCCCGCGCGGGACTCCGCCTCCGAGTCCGCCGAGTCCGCCGAGTCCTCCGACTGACATTGGATATTTTGTTAGTGGATTACATTGTTTTTGTTTGGAACTCATAAATATGATTGGTTAAGAGTAATCCGATTGACGTTGAATGCTTTGTTTTGTAAGTGGGATAAACTCTTTACTTTTTTAAATTAGGAAACTCAGTGATAATTTATGCATAATATTACAGGAGTGACGCATAATTAAATAAACTGCAAAAAGTGCCTTGGAAAACAGCCCCTTTTTCTTTTACGCTTTTTGAACAAATAGTACATGTAATCGAAACATACAATAGATATTAATTCGAAATTTATACATATAATAAAATTGTAACTAAGCCGAATCTACATTAAATATTTTTTGGAAAAACTTTTTAACAAAAAAATAAAAACCGACTTCAAACAAAAGCACTAAAAATTTTTTTTTATTTTTCCCTTTTTAGTATAGACAGCAGTAGCAAAGTAAGAATTCTAAAGTATTAGGCTTGTCAAACCAAACGAAATAAGCCCAAACTCAAAGTATCTACTATTAATCGTTGAAGAGTTCCACCTATCCACCTTCTGGCCTTACCATCAGATCAGGTCAACAATACCGAACCACTGTACTATCAATGGAAATAGAAACACTTGCAAAGTTTCAAGTTAATATGACAATTAGAAGTAGGTTAAATTCATCATTAGCTATTTTTCCACCCTTAGGGGTGTTTTTTTTTTTAATTTAAATGGGACCAATCTGGAAGTACACCCTTTCAAACAAAACAAAAATTGTCCAAATCGGTTAATAAATGACGAAGTTCTGAGGTAACAAACATAAAAAAAATACAGTCGAATTGAGAACCTCCTCCTTTTTTAAGTCGGTTGAAAATCTTATTAAAATAAACATTATTATCGATACAGAGGCCGAATCTATAGTTTTTAGAATTTTTGTCTATCTGTCTGTATGTTACCGCATCACAGAAAAACCACTGGAGGGATTTTGATGAAATTTGGTATGGTGATAGCTGGTTATCCGGGTCAACATATAGGATACTTTTTACCGCGGGAAAATATATCACTTTTGAGGAAAAATACAAAAACTGCAATGTAAGAGTATAAACTAATATGTAAAACCTAAGAATTTGGTTTTTGGTCATCTGAACGCGGGCGGAGCCGCGGGCAATGCTAGTAACTTATAAGTACTTTTTAACTAAGAAAATTGATTGAACTATTTTTTTATGTGAAACAACCTTTGAGAAATACCCTAAAAAATAAAACCATAGCATAACAAAATATCATTGAAATCTGTTCAGTTAGGAAGATACTCGTAACATAAACTTTCTTTTTCAAATCGGTTAAAAATTATAGGAGACGTTTAAACCAATAATTACCAATTGTTGCAACGGCGGATAGTTAGGCTGTGTCCGCTGCACGGCGCTCACGTAGCGCGGCTGCGCGCCCGCCGGGTATTCTAGTTTTAGAACCGGCGGCTCCACACCCACGAGGTACCTGGTGGGATTTTTCAATTCCATTAATGTTTATGTGACAACAGACTATTCATTAGTGATGGTTGAACGTTATTTCAACTATCTTTTAACATTTTCATGACAGAAACAAGACATATATGTAAATAACAACACTCACGATTCTTTGAGAATTGTTTAAAATACAAATTGACGTTACGCACTGACATATTTTTCAGAATCAATCTTAGATTATAGGTTGACACTTGAAATTAAATGTATATCATCAAATAGTCAAAGCAACATGCATTTCATTGCGTCCACTAACAATTAACTTACTATAGCACATTCCTCTTAATGTAGTTATAAATAAAACATAATTTTCCCGTTTGATTCGTTGATTCGCGAGTTAGCAAGAAGATAGGTCGTGAGAATTACATTATAAATGATGCCAAACCGGATATAGTTAATCTAATTTGCAAGCAAATGGATGGGCAGCGCTTGCACGATCATATTTGCTGGTAATATGTTCCGAGACCCGGGAAGCACGTTACACGATTAGTCTCAGTTATAAAACCGCAACTTTTATGAATACATCCACAGATGTATATTTTTATCTACACATTTTTTATAACACTGTAAATAAATACCAATTTCTGATAAGTTTATTAGAACATGATGTTTTTTTTTAATTTCATTATAAAGTGTTGTTACGAGCCCTTTAGTATACCAACGGCAAAAACTCGTCGGTAACGTCATTTAAATTTAACTAATATGTACAATGTACATCCATTACAAAGTGATATAGATGTCTCATACTCACTTCGTTTTTCTATCTCAATATATGGCAATTGGAATTTTATTAAAGTGTGTTCAAGTACGAATCGAACTTGTGCACTGACGGTCCCGTACCATTATACAATACACATAATGCAGTACGTATTTACCAATAAAATGTCACTTTACATAAAATACTGATTAAAACCTCTAGAGAGAATCAAAATCATACTTAGATTTTCATTATTTATTGTTTTACGCAACCCATCCATAAGACTACGGAACCCTAAAAACGTGTAATTTCATGTATTAAAGTGCAACATGTTTTTTTTAATTATATTCTTGTATCCTATTGTGAAGGGATTCTTTAGCTTATTATTATAGATATTATTACTGCCTCGGTGGTGTAGTGGCTAGCATGTACAGCTGCACACTCAGAGGTCCTGGGTTCGAGTCCTGGGTCGGGCCAAGTTTAGTTATTGAGTCTTTCTGTATAGTAAGTCTCAGTAACAGCCCGGAGTTGGGGAGTTGGCGGTGTTTCACCCCCGTGCCTCGGAGAGCACGTAAAGCCGTCGGTCCAGCGCCTTGACTCTCACTGGTCGTGTCGAGCAGTCGTCCCACCGGAGTATGAGAGTGACAGGAATAGAGAGTGCACTTGTGTTTGCGCGTACACTTGTGCACTATAATATCTCCTGCGCAGTTGGCTGGTCTCAATGAGATTGGCCGCCGTGGCCGGAATCGGTCAGGAGAACATCATCATTATAGATATAAAAAATAAAAACAAAAACAAGCGGCTAACTTAATCTCTAAAGAGCGTCGCTATATGTAGACCTTTAGGTTTTGCAAAAAGTTTTAATAAGTTCTCTATAAGGAAAACAAAATGTTACCCACGTTCTACCTGACTATCCTAAAAGGATGTAGCGTTTTGTGCAATATAGGATGAATAGATTCAAAGTTATAGAATGAACTCTCCAAACTAAGCAGACAAAGGTAATAGAAAAGTAATATATTATGTATATATATTATAGTATAATGACTACAACTAAACAGAATAGTGCAATCAATAGCAAGTATCTCATAAAGTATTATCATAAGAAACCGCCAAGTTGAACAAATTATTACCGCCTAATCTGTAATTCTCTCATAGGAATTTTATATTAATTAGAAAGATTTTTTCTATACTGTCAACACTAATTCTCTAATTTTTACTCTTTAATCCTTCCACGACCGCGGATACGCCGGCGTGTCAGTTAACAATAGATTTCTTAGAATTTTAATTAATTTCTTATAAATTTACCTGGAAGTGTTAAGCACAGTCTTCTAATCCATACAGTCGTCTAACGAAGGCCTCTAGACAGGGCAATCGCGCGGGGCGTGCAAAGTGCGACGCGGGTGAAGCGCGCCCGACTGCTATACTTACTTTTATATGACAGTTGGGAAATAGCTTTATACATGACTGAACTGTATATATAACTGGCACTACAATGTACTTTTTTGACAAACCTTATACATTTGACAGGAGTATTATATGAGTATTCATGAGTGAATACTCATTGATTTTAACAGCTTACTCTATGGATTTTTATATTGTTTTTTTTATTATATAAATAAGGTGGTTATTGCACACATTGCATTTATTTATTTATTGAAATTTCAGAACATATATAGCAAAAACAATTATAAATGGTAATAATTGCAGAAGTTAAGAAACTGCGTCGCAATTATTAACGCCCTCCGCCAGCAAAATTACAGAAAAAATATGTACATACATACATTCCAAAACTAATCAAAAATAACATTTATAAAAACAAAAATATAAACAAACATTTTTAGCTAAATTAAATAAGTTTACAAAAAAATAAATTACTTTAAGTAATTACATTAAAATTATATCCATATAGAACAGCACACTCACTCAGTCCCAAAGAAGAGCAGTTTCCTCGTCCTGAGCACATGCTCCGCCGTGTGCGGCGCCGGCGCCCGCTCCGCCGGCAGCCACGCCGCCGCCGGCTCCATGTACATGAGCGGCGTGAAGCCCGCCAGCGACGCGTCCTCCGGCAGCCTCACGGACACATTACCTGTATACACCCCCACACGCTCATTTAAATCACAGGTTTGTGATAAAACCAAACAAAATTTAGAAATGGAAAAATGGACTTAGTATAATATCTTGGGGATGACAGAGTAAAAGACCACACAATCATTTTCTTCTTCGTAATCCTACATGATTAAAGCAACCTTCTAAGTAAATATTAAATCGTTATCGTAGAATTTCAGTCTCATTTACAAAAAATAATACCTCTTTTATTTCAACCTAGGACTCATATCCACAAATATATATAAAATATACTGTTAATATAAAATATAGTTATAATCACCAATCACTTTATTGGTTTACGATTATTAAGACTAAAACATATTAGGTTTTAAACAAACCTTATCTTACCTTCTTTCATTTCACTTTCGAATTCTATGCTTTTGTCGTCGAGAGCTTCGAGGATATTCATAAGTTTTGCGAGCCAATCCCACGGGTCGTTTTCGCTTCTAAACAAACACCAATGATGTTAAATATTTCCGAACTATTAATTTTAAATTAACATAATTTACAAGAATAATAAACATCACTTACTCTATTTCGAAATTGTCAAATGTTGGTGGTGGATTCCATACACTACTGTGACATAACATCCAGTCTGACCACACCTGGGGAAGGAAGTTTATTGTAAAAATTATTATTTTCAAAATCGTATAGTCCTTGCGTTATGACATGTTATCTCACGTTTAGGAAGTTGATCTCTTACACGAATTAATCATTCATGTTGACCATATAAATGTTGATCTTGTCTTGATATAATAAAAGCGGATATTCCCAAACGATTTCGCAAAGAAAAAAAAATTATCGTTTTCACTTTCCATCCTGCTATCAGTATGTATATTTAACATGAAACCATTTCTTACATGTTATATTTACGCAGGAATACCTTAATCGCAGGAAGGAGTAGTAAGGCGTCGGCATGTTGCTGCGTGTGCGCCGGCTCCGGCAGCAGGGCACAGCACCTCTCCAGTAGAGCTCCAAACATGAGCAGGGAGACTCCCAGCGCGCATTCAAGCCACGCCGATCGTTCACTGCCATTATTTCCTAGCAAAGTCACATCATATCAAATACCTACTGCAAATTAACGAAATTGACTGATTTTTCAATTACTGCTTGCATTTGCAACAGAATAATAAAATAGAATACAACAAATTTTTTATAACATTCATTGATAATTTAGTAAAAATAATTTTTCACTTAAAATTAAAAAAATGTTAATGCGACATACGAAAATGAACTTTAAAAATGATAATATAAGCATGCCAATGCCTAAACGCAAAAGTGTAAATAAAAATACATTTAGAAATAGTACAATAATTTAAAACCCTTCTTTGCTATAAATAAGTGATCGATTAAAAACAATCACTTATTTCAATCCAATAAATAAAAATAATTGCAAAATTGATTACGTTCAAAAATACTAAAGTGCACATTTCGCCATAACTATAGTCTATGGAGTATAAAATTACAACAGACGAAGGGACGTGACACATAAAACGTTACGTGTAAGTATATAATAACGTTGCAATGTACTTGTACAAAAAGTGACTAGTTTATGGGGTAAGAATAGAGATGGCGTTGGAAATGATGGACAGCTTGTCAGTGTTAGCGAGCAGGTCCGATATAAATAGAAGTAAGATGGCTAAAAATACACCGCACGGATTACACCTGCGAACGTGAATCGCATACTACTATCTTTAATACTTGCAAAACTAGACGCCGAGCTGTTGCTGGTCTAAATTAAAATCTAGTTATAATAACAGTTATATTAGGGATGTTCTCACTATGATAGCGAATTAAAAACAACAATTCGTATACATGCCTATACTGCGAATGCAATGGGTTTTATAGTTTTTATATTCAATTTAAATGGCAAAAATGAGATAATAAAATAGTTTTTTTTAGTACTTTTATACAACCATTACTCAAGGAGTAATGATAACTCCGAAGTTTAATAGACATTTTATGTTTGACTATTTTTAATATAGTGTGCAGAATATTGACCGCGTGTAAAAATCTCAAGGATGAGCTTTTATTACAAAAGTTATGATTTGTTATAAAAGATGAACATACATATTATCCTATGTGGTATAGCAATAATTTGATGTAAGCTTGTTTTAGCTCATATAATAGAGCAAAAATTGTTTTCATTAATATATAACGCTAATTAAAGTAAAAGGCCGCAGAACTGAGTCGTAAAGGAATCGGTTTGTTGAACCTATCGGCGTCATGTGTCTGCACTCGTACACTGTTCAGGCGTAAGCGACGACGCTGACCCTACAGTGCAATAACCTCTTGTAATTACAACATTTTATTGCACACAAAACCAAAGGAAATCAACAGCGTATTTTATAAGTTTATAAATTACTAGCATTGCCCGCGGCTCCGCCCACGTTCAGATGACCAAAAACCAAATTCTTAGGTTTCACATATTAGTACTCTTACAATTCAGTTTTTGTATTTTTTCTCAGAAATGAGATATTTTCCCGCGGTAAAAAGTATCCTATATTTTGACCCGGATAACCAGCTATTTGCAGTGAGTGCGAAAGCGATCCTGCACGCCCCATTGCACTGCGGCGAAGGGTTCCGCTGTGGGTTTTAGTGAGAGAGGATAACCAGCTATCATCATACCAAATTTCATCAAAATCTGTCTAGTGGTTTTCTCGTGATGCGGTAACAGACAGACAGACAGACAGACGGACAGACAAAAATTCTAAAAACTATAGATTCGGACTCTGTATCGGTAATAATGTCTATTTCAATTAGATTTTCTAAAAAATATTTTATGTACAGATTCGACTTAGTTACAATTTTATTATATGTACTTATAGATATTTGAAGAAACCAACGATAACAGATGAGGGACGTCATTTTAAATAGATCCGCTTTTTTTATTTTATATAGTTACTTCTATTATTACAGTCCTGATAGTCTACCATAGCTAATTACATGAGTCTAGAAAATAACATTTTTTTTTACCGATTGAATAATTTCTCGCAGCAATTGTATTCGTTTCGGTTCGGTTGCCTGAGAAGGTCGCAAAAACTATAATTCCAGCTATTAAACCTAAACATATTAAATAGCTTTTAAAAACATTATGCAAGTGTGAAGCTTGCACTGACCCGTACTCACCACAGCTTGAATAAATATTTACTTATATCCTACGTTTAGTGACTTGTAACGTTAGCGCAGTGACTACGTAATAATAGGTATGTTAAAAATTTACAAAGTTAGAATTACTAGAGATTAATGACCGATTTCACCAACGTCACCTAAGTTTAAGGGATCCCCTAAGCATGGTTAGGGGGCTGTTAGGGGACAGTTTATGTTTAACCGACAGTTAGAGGTCACCTAAATGTTAAAATGCCACCTAAATATAGGTACTAGAAATACGGGCTCTGACGATGGTAAAACGAAATTTAATTTAGGAGCTAGTTTAGGGGAACTTTTAAGCTTGGGATCCCATACGTAGGTGGTAGCTTTATAGGATGTTGGTGAAATCAGACATAATTGTTTTAAATATTTTTATACCTAGATTGACCAATTTTCAACTTTAAACGTATATTATTTTTATCTGTATTATAAATATACGCACTGTGATTATTAATATGATGATGATGATGATGATGTTCTCCTAGCCGATTCCGGCTACGGCGGCCAATCTCATTGAGACTAGCCAACTGCGCAGGAGATATTATAGTGCACAAGTGTACGCGCAGACACAAGTGCACTCTCTATTCCTGTCACTCTCATACTCCGGTGGGACGACGACTCGACACGACCAGTGAGAGTTAAGGCGCAGGACCGACGGCTTTACGTGCTCTCCGAGGCACGGGGGTGAAACACCGCCAACTTCCCAACTCCGGGCTGTTACTGAGGCTTACTATACAGAAAGACACAATAGCTAAACTTGGCCCGACCCGGGACTCGAACCCAGGACCTCCGGGTGTGCAGCCGTACATGCTAGCCACTACACCACCGAGGCAGTCAATTATTAATATATCATTACACGTATAAATAAACAGATGAATAATTTTATAGACACCGAGACCTATGTGGAATTATTAATTTAGAAAAATATAATAGACTAAAATATAAGATCTTTGTTTCGTAAAACGATTAAGTTATTAGATTCTAATCTCGCAAATGTACATAATTATACTAAAGAGGGATGCACACGGAAGACTAAAGTCACGCAATACCGATAAATCACTCTCAAGTGATAATTATAACTTTTTGTAAGAATTAAAGTTTTGTTTTGGGATCACATTTTGTTTAGCATATGATGCAAATTCTGTATACTTGTTTACAAAGAAAAGTTCATTTTCAATTCCCTCACGGATAATTGAAATGGATATAGTAAAAAACGTGACAGACTTATAATACTAGTGATTTTTTTGCGCGGAATCCCTATTCATTTCCTATAATAAAAGTAGCTTAAGTTACTCCTTATAAATTATAACATCAGCTATCTGTTAGTGAAAAGTCCGTCAAAATCAGCCCAGCCCTTTCGAAGATTTTTCCGGAACAAACTGACAGACAGAAAGACACACAAAAATTTTAAAAACTTGTGTTTACCTTATAAGTACTGTATACAGGCTCATTTTTAATTTACTGAAAACCTTTTGGGAATATACTATTTACATCATAACAACAACATCTGAAAGAAGAAAAAAATATTTCTTAAATTTTTATTTTCATACAAAAATAAAAATATTTTTATTGCACCTTCTAAACGGTAAAGTTCTAGCATCTGGCCAAGTTTAAATGAGTAAGGGCCACTTCCTACACCCCTCTACCCCTTCTCCTCCACTGGTCACGCGCTTTCTTTTGTTAATTGCTGGACTATTACCGTTTAGAAGGAGCAATAAAAATACTTTTATTTTTGTAAAATTTAAGAAATATGATTTTTTTTCTTACAGATGTACTTGTTATGATGTAAACAGTATATTCCCAAAAGGTTTTTAGTAAATTAAAAATGACCCTGTATAATTTCATATGCATTTAGTAAAAAACTGTTATGTTGTAATTACAAATAGACACTTCAATTTTATTTATCTCTATAGATTATACAACAGACCTGTCTGTTAATGGTAATCATATAATCCTGATTCTAGCGTTTTTTAAACATTGAAAACAAAAGATAAAAAGTGGAAAAAAATTTATTAATGTAATCTTTCCTTCAAGGGTCGCCATAATTGTCATATATTTAATAGATTTAAACTTCTTTTCTTTAATAAGATGACTAAACGTTCTTTTAGGATCAATAAAGTTACAATTTTATCCCAAAGCAATCTAATTTGAAGCTTTTACGATTGTCTGTGTTACGATCTTATATTTCATCCAGCAGTCATGAGCGCAATTACTGAGATAGGCATCGGATACGACTGCTATTTAGTTATGTTACAACATAAAAAAAAGCTTTAACAATACTCCATACACAATTTATTTAACGCATTTTTATTTTGACTAATGTTCATCCAGTTTTAATTGCTGAGACTAAAAGCTCGTCAATAAAAAGGCAACAAAAAAAGAAAATCGGATTACAAGCCGAGGAAAAAAAGGTACTGAACTGGTTTGTCTTTCCATTTTTATATATAGGATTACTGTTTATTGGAATTGGTAATAAATTTAATTTTGCTGTATATTATTATGAATAATTTAAATGATTAAATATGTGTAAAACATAAATATAATAAAAATGTAACTGATCAATGTCACATGGAATACATGGAAGATATTTGAGAAAAAATATTATTTGGGATCTTTATAAACGCAATAGAACACAAAACAATGATTTTTATAATTTTTATCTGTATGTCTGTTCGCTTATGCGCGCTAATCTCAGAAACGGCTGAACCAATTTGTGTGCGGTTTTCACTAATATCTTGTGGTAAACTTCATTTACCTTTTAGTAGTTGTTTTGCCTGTTTGTCTGTTAGTTCCGGCTAATCTCCGAAACGGATGAACCGGTTTTGACGAGACTTTCACTGGCAGATTCAGCTGATGTTATAAGAAGTAACATTAAAAAGATAGGCTACTTTATTTAAAAAAAAAGGGCTCGGGCGCAATAAAATTAAAACGTATGAAATTGTGAACAAAATCTGTACATACGTACATACGTACCTAGAAACGCGAGCAAAGCGAGGTTAAATCGCTAGTAGGACGTATATAGATAGATATTGTATAAAATGACAGTAAAATGTAAATTAAACTTAACTGCGAAAAAGAATTATATGATACACATAAATATAACATTTTATCATCATCAATCTAGTCGAGAAGATCAATATCTGCGAAAATAGTAAGAAAAGTGAGAAAATTATGGGCGATGGCTCATTAGACGCGGAATAAAATCTACTGATCATTAGATGTAGTTAGTTCATACTGTGTGCATTAACAGTAATTGATATTAATATATATTTTATCTATAAAGGTAGCAATAGTGTTGCTTAATATTTTCACTTTAAATAATAGCAACGTAAATATATTTTTTAACTTTTTTAAATTATATACATAAATAAAACAATATTCCTTAAATAAATAATTAATAGCAATAGCTGTTGCTAAATAATATTATCAATTAATAAAGTTTAAAAAAAAGTAATATTTATTATAATAATAGCTAAAATTAAATTAATGCTGTAAAGCATTCGAAACGTCGGGAACCAAAAATCAAAATAAATCTGCGAAGTACTCCGAAAAGATAGTTTTATTTAAAATGTTAAATATTCGCGTAAATCTAAGAAAGTATATTATGTTATTATCATTTTTTAACGGACGTCCAAAAAGGGCGAGGTTCTCAATTCATCGGAATCTTTTTTTTATATAAATGTTCTTTGTTCACTCGAAGATGCCTGAACTGATTTGGATTTTTTTGATTCGAAGAGTATACTTCCCAGGTGGTCCCATTTAAATTTTATCGAAATCGGTCGAGCGGTTTTTAAAAAAATCAACAATTAATTATTTTTTTTAAATAAACTGCTTAATCGAATATGTAATTAAAAAATTTCTTCTTACAATTTTTAATAAAACTATATTTTCGGATTTTGTCGCGGATTTATTTGCATTTTTGTTTCCCGACGTTTCGAATACTTTACAGCATCCATGGTCACGGGAGAGACTGAGGTGTTACATGTCTTAAAGGTATAGTTGTTACAGACAGCCTACCCACAATTAACAAAATGAAAATTGCACCAATTACATTACAATTGAAGGTATCATGAAAAATATCTAATTCTGGTAAGGCCTTAGAAATAATATTGTATTGCGAACACATACGGACGATGGGAGATTGAGAACCAAGGTTAGTTTTTACACAAGGGATATGGAAAGTATTGTATTTGCGGGGCCTTTGGGGCTTATAGGGAACTGCTAAATTTATACGTTCGAGTAAATCATTGTTCTGAACTACACCGTTCAAGATTTTACGCAAAAAACATAGATCGAGCACTGCACGACTGTTACTCAAAGACATCATTTTGAAGAAGGAGATACGATTCTGGTAAGGCTGTCTTTGGCTAATTCCATTACACAAAAACGCCAAATGCTTTGTGAAGTTACGTTGCACTCTCTCAATGCGTTGCGAGTGAATGCCATAGAAGGGACTCCAAACCACAGAAGCATACTCCAATTGGCTACGAACAAAAGCATTGTATAATAATATTTTAGTTGATGCAGAGAAGCCTCTGGTGTTACGTTTTATAAATCCGAGAGTTTTAGCTGCTTTATTAACGGATCTAGTGATGTGCTGAACGAATTTTAATTTGTCGTCCATGATAACACCCAAATCTCTAATCTCACTAACTTTCTGTAGCGGGGTACCTTCAATAGAGTAGTTTGAGACAAGCGGTTTTAGCTTTTTGGAATATTTTATAAAGAAGCACTTCTTCACATTAAGAGACATACGATTTTCGTTACACCAAAGACTGATTCCATTTAAAACTTCCTGCAATGACAGCGTATCCGACAATTTTTCACGGTTTTATAAATTTTTAGGTCATCAGCAAATAAAGAAACTTTACATGTTTTAATATTAGTAGTGATGTCGTAATAAATACAAGGAATAGAAGGGGTCCTAGGTGAGATCCTTGCGGTACTCCGGATTGGGCGATATAAGATGTTGATTCGAATCCGTTAACAAATACTACTTGCTGTCTATTCAGTAAATATGACCTGAACCACATCAAAAGAGAATTTAACTATTTAAATTATTTATATTTAAACATAACAGACAGGTAGATGTAGTAAGTTCTTACTGTGTAGATCAAAATGACAGCTTATCAGATTAATATTTTTCATTTTTCATTTGTAAAAGTATATAGTAATAGTGTTGCTTAGTAAGTTGTTTTTAAATAATAGCAAACTAAATTAAAATAATTATCCTTAATTAACTTTAACTTTTTAAATTACACATAGAACAATTATATGGCTTAAATAATTAATACTATATTTTAATTTTTTTCTTTATGGTTATAAATATAATAATGGCAACACTAAATATAGATTACTAATTAATATTTTAAAATTGTAATAATTATAAAAATAATAGCAAAAATTAAATAAATAATATTCCATATTCAATTATAATTAAAATTATAAAAATGTTTAAAGTTAAAAAATATTGTAATGTAATTGGTGCAATTTTCATTTTGTTAATTGTGGGTAGGCTGTCTGTAACAACTATACATTCAAGACATGTAACACCTCAGTCTCTCCCGTGACCATGGATGCTGTAAAGCATTCGAAACGTCGGGAAACAAAAATGCTAATAAATCCGCGACAAAATCCGAAAAGATAGTTTTATTTAAAATGTCAAATATTCGCGTAAATCTAAGAAAGTTCTTCTTACAAATTACCCGCTTGTTACGTCTACATTAAAAATGGAAAAATAAAAACTTAAAAAAACCGACTTCCAGGTACTAAAATGTAAAAAATAACTAAACAGGGGTTTTCATTTAGAATAGACACCTAATCAGATATTTTCGAAGTCAGTGTCAACCGACAATGTTTAAAGATATGAATATCTAATAGGTAAATATGATTAGGTATGAACTCTAATTATAGTTAAAATATTATACATACATCAATATGTGATGTATTTATTTTACGTATCGAAATATATTACATTTGCTTTGCATCGGCTGGCACCGACTTCGAAATTATATATATATGTATAGATTATAGTGTTTGAATAACCATAATTATTTAAGGCAAAATTTGTATATCATAGGAACACTCATTATTAAAAGGAAAGGTTTGTCTAATATCACACGCACCATGCTATAATGAAAATAGTAATGAAAATTGGTATTTTTGACAACTTTTGAATTGTGCAGCATTTCCGTTAAAATCAAGGAGGCAACGTTCGTCTACTGTAGCCTATAGTGCAAGGTTACCTTTAAGCGAAGCGGCGTTGGTCTCGACCGCGAACATGTTGAGCGCGGTGAGCTGCAGCAGGCGCGCGGCCGGCGTGGGCAGCGGCTGGCGGTGCAGCAGCGCGCGGAACTGCCGCAGCATGTGCGCCGCGCTCGTGTGGAACGTCTCCATGCTAATACGTTATACATATGAATAATAATTCGTTGGCTTACTATTACAAGGTTCTATGTTACAATTTTAGTACTTATTTAGTTATTAATGCTACAAGGTTCTATGTGTCATTAGCTTTTGACGACACGTTTGGCTCAGTTTGTAGTGATCCTACTTTCTGTGTCAGCGGTCGCGGGTTCGAGTCCCGCTGGGGGCATTCATTTGTGTGATGAGCATGAATATTTGTACTTCAGTCATGGGTATTTATATTTATAATATGTATGTATTTAAAAGCTATATATGTGTAGTGTATCAACTATCTGGTATCCATAACACAAGCCTCGTAGCTTACCATGGAACTAGATGGTGTTGTGTGTTAATGTCCCAACATATATTAGCTACAGTTTTGCAAAAACAAACCACTAGATAGCGGCACTATAACTACAAAGTATTCAATTTTACGTAGTTCTATGTTGTTTTTTTTTTACGATAACAAAATAACGAAGTTCTATGTATAAATTACTAAACTTCATTAAAATTAACATAGAACCTTGTAATAGTAAGCCAACGAATTATGTTGGGACATTAACACACGTCACTATCCAGTTCCATGGTAAACTACGAGACTTGTGCTATGGATACCGGATAGTTGATACACTACACATCTATAACTTTAAATACATGTAGGATCCGTCATCCGGAGATACTAATAAAAGCGTTTATAACACTATTAACTATTTATTCTTTAAAAATATTACGTAACAATGTTCACGCGTCTCGTCGTGTCGTCATTATGACATATCATACTTCTTTTCGTTTATTCCTCTTTCATTCCATTCTTAAAATTCTTACATACCTTATATTCTTAAAATATTATTACACGCACACTCATCTCGCAAAGCCTACATACATACGTATTATAAATATCAGCATTAAGCACCCATGAATGGAGTACAAACAATCACGCTTATCACACAAATGATGATGAGAATGATGGCACAGCAACAAACTGAACCAAACCTTCACTAGATTGTATTATGTCAAAAGACATGTGTGCAGTGAAACCTTCAAAAAATTAAACTTCAAGATAATGAGACGAATTTCGTAGAATTTGAGGAGAGGGTAATTGTACGGTTTATTTACGATAATATTGATACCAAGTTTAAAAATTATTTAACATTTTATTCACGTAACAGAACATTATACAGACTCCTAATTTTAACGAAATAAAATATAAGAAACACTGTATATTGTTAGAATAGAGAGTGCACGTTGTGTCTGCGCGTACACTTGTGCATGTGCACTATAACATCTCCTGCGCAGTTGGCTAGTCTCAATGAGATTGGCCGCCGTGGCCGGAATCGGCTAGGAGAACATCATTATCTATTAACTCTTTTAAGACCTAACCCTCATTTCTACAAGAATAAATTATAAGAATATTCCTAGTTCTCACATATAAACTAAGCTTTTCGTTATGTTAGATTGTTAAATGATGTAATATTTTAACCAGAAAATTATTTGTAAATAATACTTATTTACAACTAGCTTGCTTCCCAATACAAACTTTCATCCCCATTTTCACCCTCTTAAGGGATGATTTCCGGGATAAAAAGTATCCTATATCCTTCCCAGGGTCTCAAACATCTTACCAAATTTCATCTAAATCGGTTCAGTAGATCCAGAGATTACCCCCTGCAACGTCACAAACTCACAAACTTTACCTCTTTATGATATTAGTATAGATAAAAATATTAAATAAAAATGCAAATATTACATTAATTATATTCTTCAATATCTTAAATTATAAAAAATAATCAATATTCGATTATCGATATTAGCGTAGTGCGGATATTTCCATTTTAGCTAACTGTATTAGTTGCATACTGTTATCACTTATACTACTTAGCATTAGAGATAGAAGAAAATATACTCACTCAATTTTTGTAATAAGTTTCCCGTGTACGTGTAAATAACTCGTGATGAAATTTTTATTTAACTGAAACAAAAAATAAGATTTTAGTATACCAAGTAAATTTTAAGTATGAAAGCTTTCAAAATGAGATAATAAATATATTGTATTTTATACATTTTGTCATTTACACTTAGTACTTATGTATCTCATGCCATAAAATGCCATGCAATAAAAAGTCTAATTTCGGCCAAATAGAAACATATTTATACTCGCAATATTTTAATTAACTTATTATTTATAATTTGTTTTGCCAATAGGGATTTTTTAATTTTTTATACAATATCCAGCTCCAAAAAACTAAAATTGAGTATATAAAAAATATATCATACTTTAAACATAAAATCGCTAAACGCTCTGTTGTGATATACTTTGACGTCATATTCGATCTGACCAATAGCGTGCGTTTCAACTACTTTGAATTTACCACCTATATTTGCACTTTTTAATAGTTATTTTCTTAATCAAATAGAAAATACATTTAAAAATATTAATATAGTGCTTAATTCAAATGTAATAAAGATCATAAAAAAACGTATGTGTACTTATGTACGCACATAAGAAGTTATACTTCTTTGACGTAACAGAATAAAAATAGCTAAAGATTACATCCCGTATGTCACAACTTTCTGTTTGTAAAAGGAATGATAAAATAATTAAATAAGGCGTATTTGGCATATTACAATCTTAGATTTATTTATATCAGATATTCTATATCATTTAAGGAAATCATTCGCTAGCTATAGCATTAGCTAGCTAACTTCATCATGTCGCTTTCATCTAACTTGATCATGTCGCTTTTTAGCTGTCGATGTACGCGCGCATCGTGAAAATTTTACTCTTATAATTTTTTCCAAACGTCTCAAAAGAAGTATAACTTCAAAAAAATATTTCACCTTTATTTCGTCGTGTTTAAGAATACGGTTGCAGTGGCAAATATCTAGTCAAAATCAAATTCATAATCTTTTATTCAGTATTAAATTATTAACAACTTTTACTGAACGTCATGAAAAAAAACTGGCGACGTAACTACTACTACTATAAAATATGAATACAACTAGCAGAACGAGCACTAATAAATGACATCTGACCTCTACAGGGGTCATGGAGCTGAGCGAGTCGTCGGGCGCCGCGCGCAGCGTGGTGGTGCGCTGGCCGCTGGGCCGCACCCACACCTCGCGCCTCAGCCCCGCCCCGGCGACACCTCCAACGCCCCCAGCACTCCCGCGTATCCCGTTCTCGCTGCCGTTCTCACCTCCCCTTGCTTGTTCTACTGCTGCTCGACGTTTCCGCTCCGCTGCCTCATACTGTTATAATAATAATAAATGTCATTTTTACGGCGGAAAACATCCAAAAACCCAAGTCAGCATGTCAAATGTCTTCACGATGAGAGGCCACAATTTGAAATTGTGTATGTTACAATCTCCTTGTATACTTTATCGACTAATACACGTGACTCTGTTCGTATTAAAATGGTGTCGTCATTGTTGGGCACTTTTTGAATTATTTTTTTATTTAGTACTAATTCCATTTATTTAAATATGTTTAAGTAAAAACATTACCTATTTTTATTTATAACGATTAATTCATTACTTCATGTTTTATTTGGAAGTAATAAGTGCATTATTGTTTCAATTTTACCTTCCAAGAATTTCATCAAATCATAGGAATTCTTACGGCAACATTATCAAATAGCATTTTTTTTTCAGAAAATAATATTAAAATAAGAACGATTGCATGTAACTTTTATTCTACCCGACTCCCAAAGGCCATTGCTTTGCGAAAGATAAATTTAAAAACGTGACATAACGCCCATTGTTTTTTTTTTTATATAAAAGAACTTTACGAAATGTGCGATAGTTCAAATTTGTGTTTCGACCATCAGAACTTACAATTTATTATTTGGTTTGACTTGAGATTTTTTTAGGAACTGTGCATCTATGGTTTAAATTAATTTTTACTTTTGGTTTGAAATAATTTAGTCTAATTTTAAGAGGAATTTTATCATTAAAATCATTTTTTAATAGAAATAATAATAAATTATCAACTAGCATTTGGGATTTAATGAAATATAAAATCATATATTCCGAATTTTCATGAATAAAATTATGATGAAATGATATAAAATAATATATATATATATATATATATATATATATATATATATATATATATAATTTAACTTTTATAATTAAAAATAACCTTTTTTCTATTTTCATCAAATAAAGACAGCAAGCTTTCCCTCGCTGATTGAAAAGGATTTGACGACATTAAGCTTCTCATATAATAATAAACTGCGTCTAGTTTTCTTCTCTGAAATAGAAACATTACTTTTAATAACATAGTACTTAGTTTTAAAACATATTATAGAATTTTATTTGACGACACATTTAACTCAATTTGTAGTGCCCTGCTTGTTGTGCCAGCATTCGCGGGTTCGAGTCCCGCGCTGGGGGCATTCATCTGTGTGATGAGCACGAATGTTTGTACAGCCATGGGTGTTTATATTTATAATATGTATGTATTTAAATTAATATAAGTGTAGTGTATGAACTATCTGTTATCCATAACACAGGCCTCGTAGCTTACCATGGAAGTAGAAGGCGCTGTGTGTTAATGTCCCAACATATTTATATTTATTTATGATATAGGTTCCAACTTACCGCATAAATAGCTAAGATTGCCAGCTGGTTGTAGGGCCTACCGTTTTTGGGATTTATTTGCTGTGCTTTTGTGTACCAAAATTTACTTTTAGCAAAATTGTTAGATTCATTCACTTGTTCCTTATATCTAGCTAAGTCACCTAGAAATACATATAACTTCTGAACGGAAATCAAAGCCAGGCCCACATAGCCGAGGCCTTTGGGCGGTAGCATGTGATTGTCGTTAATATAATCTTCTGTATTGAACTTATAAGTTTTCTCTAACATATGTACGAGATTCTCAAAGAAAATGTTTCCTTCGTCTATAATAGTATTTATTAGTTTGACAACCTCGGGCTTCTCCTCGGGAGTCACTTGAGATACACTCTTTCTTAAATTTTCAATAAAATGGTAATAAAGAATTTTCCAGAATTGATGCTCAATGTTATCTGCTTGGCAGTATTTTAAGTCAGACAATAAGAGCCTCTGAAGTGCACCCTGTAGAAACTTCCTGTGGACAAAAAACTTAATGTTAAATGTGTACTAGGATGTTACTATTTTGATTATAAAAAAATATTTTGGAACCTAAACAGTTGTTTGTTAAATAACTTAGAAAATGCAAAAAGCGCCATCTATCAATAAATAATAAAACATTACCTAAAGGCTCATTAAAACATTCTTTGTCCATTTAGTTCATAATTTTTTTACGTCCACGCGTATTATATTAAGAGTAGATTGTCAATTGTTATAGATCTAGAATAAATAACCTGGTCTCAGCGACATCCGGCCAGTTGGCAGCGAGCGCGAGCGGGCCGCGCATCGTGTGCATCTTGAGTATGGCGTCGGCGCGGTCCACCTTCTGCAACAGCGCCACATGGCGCGCGCCGCGCGACGCGTCCCCCGCCTCGTAGCTACGGCCAGACGACTCTTTTACTGCTACAACAAATATTAAAGTGTTAATGTTTGTGTAGTCTAGTCTCCTCCGTGTTGAAACGTATTTGGATCTAGTAGATAATCAAGCACCTAAAGAAGATTGTAAAATAATAAATATCCCTCAAGTGCGCGTTAGACTCGGGTGCTGAGTTCTGCGCTATACAACATATTTACATTACATGGTGTATTCAAATCTTTTTTATTTGTTTAAGACAATGTCAAAGTAGACAAATAAATTTATTTAATATTAAAGGTAACGAGCCCAAAAAATATTACAGCTGCAAATAATTTTAAGTACGTAAATATATGTCTACATACTACGATGTTTTTATTCGTCACAATTTACAAATAATAAATTTTAAGTATTAACTATAATAGTAATTTATAATTAAAATAAATATATTTTTGAGTAATTAGGTGGGTTTTTTTTATTATTTGGTATTCATGTTCGGTCGAATAGTACGCAACATTTGGCCGAGTTCGGAATACTAAAATGTAGCCGAATAGGCCGAATATCCAATAGTAATCAAATATTCGTTACATCTTTAATGTAAACAACACTTAAAAAAATGTAGATCATACAAAACAATATTTTTTATACAAATAAAATAATAAACAAACTTACCTCTTTCCATTCTCATGTCATGTTTTGTTGGACTTGTTTGCACAATTATTGGTTTAGTTGGATTTTGATGGTCAAATAAAGTTTTTTGATTTTCAGCATATTCGCCGCGTCTATAAAATAATAATATGTATGCAATTTTATATACTACAATAATAACTTGATTATCAAAAAAAAAACATTAATCATTATCCAAAATTTGTCTTACCCTTGATCCTTTTGCATGTGTGTCATCGAGCTTTGTGGTAAAATAATTAACCCAGGTTGAGATAAAGGCTCATTTACCGATTTATCTGAGAGAACACTATTTAGTCTGTTCCTTTGATGATTGTTCTCCGATTGTCTGAAATTTAATTTTAACAATAATAAAAAAACAAAAACCGGCTTTCAGGCACTAAAATGTAATAAATAAACGGAGGTTTTCATTTACTATATAGCGAAACAGATATTTTCGAAGTCGGTGCCAGCCGACAATTTCCTTTTTGAAATTCGGGCAAAAAAAATATGATTGAAATCCTTAGCACAAATCCGACTAGCATTTGGGCGGTTTTTATTACATATTTCACTTTTACACATACACATATTTCGACACCAAAAATATGTCAACTACCAAAATCAAAAGATACAAGCTGTTTAAAGTAGCATAAATACATTTATATGATAGGAATATCTTATATTATATACAAATAACATAAAACTAATAATATATGAATTATTCCCACGTACCTATCAGCAGCATTATGTTTCTTGGACTCAATGATCTCGTCCCTCCAGTTGACATTAGTGGGCGCGGGCTGCGCGCCGGGCGGCGGCGCCTCCGCGTTGCGCTGGCGCCGCCGCCCCGCGCGCTTGCGCGAGCGCCGCGCGCCGCCCGCCTCCGACGCGCTCGGCGTCGGCGACTGCTTCCTCTCTATACTCGGTGTACGACCCCCGTTCCAATTTGGGTTGCCCTTCTTCTGAAAATCAGTGTTTATAACTTTCTTTTCTTTGACCAATTTCAAAATTGGAACGCAAACTCAATAGGGAATATGCACTATTTTTTTAAACAATAGCTTACATCGTTTATATTAGTGTAAAAAAAATATCCAGCACAAAAAAACTAAAATTTACAGATACGGATACTTTAAACGCTGACCATTTTGGCGCGCTTGGCGTGACGTCATAGTCTATGGACTATGACTACATTGCGATCAACGAATAAACAGATCTAGTTTGATAGTAACAATTGCAAACACCATACAACAGCGCTCTATTATAATAGAGATTGAAGTCACTTTCGATGTGACCAATGGGGTTGCGTTTCAACTAATTTGTACTGCCCACCTATTTCTGCACTTTTCAATAATCTTCTTAATTAAAAAGAAATTACATTAAAAATATTGATATAGACTTAATTTAGGAACAATAAAGATTATAAAAAAATCACCTTTAAATCAAACATATATTCACTATTCGACTATGTTTTTTTTTTGAGTCCGTTATTCTTTTGTAAGTGCATTTTCTTTAACCGATTTTAAAATAGGAACGAGAAATTAATTCAACTGTATGTTTTATTTGTATAAGTTATTATAGTGTTTTCTTTCAACATTCTTAGATTTGAGCGCCATCTATTAATAACTAAAATAATATTTAATTTGAACTATTATGCTAAAAAGAGTTAATAAACAGAATAAAAAAAATCGAATATACTAAGTGCAAAGGTTTTCTTTTATGTGAAAAGTTTTATCAAACATACAAAAATAAGATGCTATAGATTGAGGGTATAGGACTTATAAACATTGGCTCCTTGCTATCTCTAACTTGGTAACCAAATTGTTAGGAAACAAGGTACATATATTCATTTATTGCCACTTTTTGATTTGTAAACACTATTTTTTTTAATTAATTAAAATGCTTTTTATTAACAAAATTAATCAATGAATCTTTTTAGCTCATGTTAATCAAATGATAGTTGAGATTTAAAGGTAGTTATCAAACTTTATTATTACCTATATTAACATAGCTTGACATAGCCCAAACTATCCATATTTAACTTAAATTTCAAAAAGAAACTCACAAATTCTACAACAAAATGGTCAATTTTATGTCTCATCAAAGTAATTATTTATTTTTTGTATGAAAATCTGCTGGAAATAAATAAATGCCTTGTTATGTTTATCATACAAATAATGGTTCAATTAGTAGAAAATTTTTATTACCTGATTTGCTGAAGACCATGTAGCAGATTTGCCAGCTACTGATGGAACTCTGAATCCATCATTGTCTTTAGGACTGACAGCACGATTCTTTGAGGTATCTCTGCTATTACACTGTGAAACTATTCTCCTGCAATATACATACATAGAAAAATAATATCAATAAGTTTTAATAAACAACTTCATTGCATTCATTTTGAATTTATATTATAGGCATTTTGCTATGTATAGTAAATACATATACATATGTTAATATTAACATATACATATTATTAAAACGGAAATAAATATATTGCTAAGTTTTACTTTAAGCTTTTGACTTGTCGTTTGTCTCCTGAAAATAGCTAAAATAATTTCGGAACAAAAACACTGAATCGATTTCATAAACAATTTCGGAACAAAAACAGCAAATCGATTACAAAAACAATTTCGAAACAAAAACAGTAAATTGATTTCAAGTTGACAAAGTCTTCATGTCATATAGTATAAACATTTTAGAATACCTTTCTGAACTCTGTTCGCGGCTATAAGATCTTAATGATCTCCATCGATCCAAATCATCTCTACTGTTTCCAATAGTAGAGGAACGATTGCTCCTGTGACTGTCACGTCTTTCCCTTTCCCGATGTTTCAGACCGTATGGTAAAGTTTCATGTTGTATGCTGACGTTACTGTCTCTCCTATGGCGCTCAGGTTCATATTGTATGCTAACGTTGCTATCTTTTCTGTTCCTTTCCTTTTTATCAGTGTTTATTTGTCCTCTACTAGAACTTCTGAATTATCAAAAATACATGATTGTTCAATTTTCATATTTATGATTTATCATAAATCCTACTACTTCAAGTGATTATACATGTGAAGTGACAATTTTAATAATAATTTTTATCTAATTGTATGGCTTACTTTTTTACTTTATGTAATTTTGTAAGTTTTTGAAGGATATCAATATCAATTCCAAAAATAATTCAGATTTTCATCCTAAATTAAACTAAAATATTAATTTCATTTAAGCATTTAAAGATATAAAGATAAGAGATTAATTTTAAAAAAAGGTTAACGTCGCATATTTTCCTGATAAATCAAGTATGGAAAAATGTACTCTATCTCTCTGAATCAACCCTTGGGCATTTGTTGTCTTTGATATGATTCATACCCGCCCTGCCTTGTCTTAGGCATGTTCCCAGAAATATTTGCGCCCAAGTCAATCATATATTAGTATTTAATCTCGATTAAGGATTTATAATGATATGTTCAAATAATCAACTAAACATTACTTAGTCTAATATACTATATATCTAACTTTTACTTATATTATAGCGGATACACTTTTACTTACACTTTATATATATATATTAAATATAAAAGTGTAAGTAAAAGTGTATCTGCTATAATATAAGTAAAAGTTAGATATATAGTACAATAGTTTGCCTAAAACACACAATACAAATATACCACTCTGGGATCCATAAGTTAATATCTATTAGTGAAAGAATTATTATAATAGGTTTATTAGTTTTAATATTTTACTGACAACAAACAAACGAATCTTTCCTTTTTGTAATATTAGTATGGACATTAAGCACTTTATTACACTGTTAAATTAAATACCTTCTGTCTCTTCGTCGAGATCTACCACTTCTTTTGGACTCTCGTGGTTCCACTGTCTTAGCATCTTGTGCTGTCGAGGATTTCAAACTTTGAGAGAATGAAGTAGAGGAGTCACACATATCATCAAGTTTAATATTTTTCTCAACTTCTTCTGTCCAATCCTTTAAAATCAATAAACAAATAATGCATTTGCACTGGTATAATGCATTTGCACTGGTATAACGCATTTGCATTGAAGGGAAAAGCAAGGGACTGTATTTTGTACATTAAAGTTGTAAAGACTGTTTGAGAGATGCTTACAATGTACAATACTAAAATCATCATCAATAAAAGATTTCAGAATTTTGAAAATTGGATGTACATATTTCATTGAAATACACTTTGTCATAAAATTACATACAAGTGTAAGTTAGACTCGCCCACGGAGGGTCCCTCCTCCGTACTTTGTAAGAAATCTGTTTAACTTTAATTTTCAAGTTTTCTTTATTTTTGAAATTTTTCGTTTATTTGTGCTATGAGACCTTGCTTTTTCATGATTCTAGGTCAACGGGAAATACCATATAGTTTTTCGACACAAAACCTATAGGGTTCTTCCGGTTGACCTAGAATTGTCAATTTTGGTTAAAAGCAAGGTTCCTCAGCACAAGTCATGGAAAAATTCCGAAAATAAAAAAGGTGAAAATTAAGGTAGATTTTGGTACTTACAAAGTTACAAAGACTTCGAAAATATTTGATTAAGTATGTATAATAAATGAAAACTACCAATCGGTTATTTATTACTTTTTAGTGATTTTGTTTGAAGTCGGTTTTTATTTTTTTGTTAAAAAGTTTTTTATTTTTCCCTTTTTAGTGTAGACAGTAGTAGCAAAGTAAGAATTCTAAAGTGTTAGGCTTGTCAAATCAAACAAAATAAGCCCAAACTCAAAGTATCTACTATTAGTCATTGAAGAGTTCCACCTATCCACCTTCTGGCCTTACCATCAGATCAGGTCAACAATACCGAACCACTGTACTATCAATGGAAATAGAAACACTTGCAAAGTTTCAAGTCAATATGACAATTAGAAGCAGGTTAAATTCATCATTAGCTATTTTTCCACCCTTAGGGGTGGTATTTTTTTTTTTAATTTAAATGGGACCAATCTGGAAGTATACCCTTTCAAACAAAACAAAAATTGTCCAAATCGGTTAATAAATGACTAAGTTCTGAGGTAACAAACATAAAAAAAAATATACAGTCGAATTGAGAACCTCCTCCTTTTTGAAGTCGGATGAAGAGTGGCATTATTAATCCTGTTCCTTATTTGCTACTATTCTTTAAAGCACATTTATTGAAGTAGGCTTTATAGTTTTATACAAGCCAGAGTTGGGGTCTTATGACTTAGTATTATTATTATTAGTATTTGATAATTTGAGATTTCATTGGATTGTCTTCCAATACCATCTACCCTATTGCAAACTGCCTCAGTGGTGTAGTGGCTAGCAAGTACGGCTGCACATCGAGAGGTCATAGGTTCGAGTTCCGGGTCGGGCTAAGTTTAGTTACTAAGCCATTCCGTTTAGTAAGTCTCAGTAACAGTCCAGAGTTGGTAAGTTGGCGGTGTTTCACCACCGTGCCTCGGAGAGCACGTAAAGCCGTCGGTCCGTTCGTCTCACTGGAGTATGAGTGACAGGAATAGAGAATGCACTTGTGTCTATGCATACACTTGTGCACTATAATATCTCCTGCGCAGATGGCTAGTCTTAATGAGAGTGGCCATCACTGCCTAAGTTGGTCAGGAGGTTATTATTATGATTACCCCATTGCAATGAATTTTGGTAAGGATTTGTGCTTATGCCTATGGATGCCGATATTACTAGCACTTCACCTATCAATATGAGAGGTGAAAACTGAAGCATTCGTATTGTTTGTATTAGATTACTTAGGTCTATGGATTTTAACACAAATAGGTACAATCATAATCATTTGCAAGTTGTAGATGTAAGTCACTTAACACTTGGGCAAAGCCTAAACAAGTGAGTAAACATAAATATATAACTATTATATACAATGTCTCCACATCTAAAATAAATTTTTCATATGTTACATTACCATAAAAGTATGTATAAAACGGTAAGTAAAAAGGACAGTTACCAAATTTGTCATGTCAGAAAGATTAGTAGAGATATATGACAAAGGTTCACTGTCATTCTGGTTTTCACTATTATCTTGCACATTTTCTGAATTCTTATTATTATATCTGACATCACTTGAATTACTTGCACCATTATTTGATCCTGAAATAAAAATAATATTTTAATAATATTTGTATTATACATTAAATATATAGATTATTTTTCTATCATGATATAATTACCATCATCACAAGAATTTTTTGCATTTTCATAATGACTTGTGTGAAAATCATGGTTTTCAACTATGCCTTTATTCTCCACTGCAATTGTATCATATAGATTTGTGTAAGAATTACTTGGAGTTGACCTTCTAGAATTGTGAACCTCGTAATTTTTTAAATATGAGTTAATTAATTTGTCCTTATCAAAATTTTCAGTATCTTTCAAGTGTCCAGATTTTTTTACTTCATATGTTTTTAAATATGAATTAATAAATTTTTCTCTATCGAAGTTTTCATTATCACGTAAGCGTCCTCTTCCTCTTGATGGCAATGTCTGAGACCAATTAGTATTGCTGTTATTATAATATTGGCCAGAATTATAAGACTGAGTCATTTCATTACTGCTATAGCGTTCTTTATTTAATTGGTCTACACTGTCAAAACTTTGATGCCCTGATTGTTCTAAATATTTTTTCCTAAATCTTGGAGGTAAGTTATCTAAGTTAACTATATGTTTAGGTCGAGAATCAGATGGAAAACCTGATGAGTTTCTTCTACCTGATGGTGGCTTTCCACCAGACCCCGATTTATGCCTTCCAGCCCATGTATCCATGCTTCTACTATCTCTATTCCGATCTAGAGATTTCTGTTCATAAAATCCTTGAGTAGGTGATATTGATCTAGCTTCTGAGCTTTGTCTGTATTGTCTATTATAGTTAACATCATTATTAGTTCCTTCTTTACAGTAAACTTCTCTACCTGAATCTTTAGAATAAGACCCTGTACCTATAAAACCAAGGTTATCTTGTTTGTCAACCATCCGTTTGTTATTGTATTGACTAGAATTATCAAACTTAAATGAAGATTTATGTTGTTTGTCAATATCTGAGCAGGAATCTCCAGTCTTAGGTACATAATGCTGTTGTTCAGGCTTTCTAATTCGAGTGTTAGCTGTTTCTCTACATGGAAGATTGTTATCTTCGCCATTTATAGAATGTTGAGAGCCGTAGCAAGTATCTTTTCCTCTTGAGCTATTATCTAAATCATAAGAATCCATTCTAACATCCAAACCATACCTAGATCGTCTTAAGGGCCCACTACCTGGCTTATAAAGTTTTTGTTGCGGTTTTATTTTTTTATTATCTTTATAATCATCATCCATAGCAATATCACATATAAAGGAATCTTTTAAATAAGTAACATTTTCCTAATTAAAATTGTAAATGTTTAAGCTGGATATTCAAGTATACTACAAATTTAACAGTTCACTAGTCTACAGACATAAAGGTTATGTCGTACTTCATTCATAAACATTTTTGTTTATAATCCAACTATTTTTCAAAAACCTTCTGAAGGAATAGTTATAACGTAGTTAATCGAAACTTAACATCAAAAAATAAATATAATGAAAACAATGCATCAATTATTATACGTTTGTATTGTGTCCACAGATTCTAAATATTTTAGTGAGGGCCATACAGCATACTCCATAGATATAAACCCACACATCTAGTGGTTAACGAGTTATAATGCGGTAAATTAAATAAAGAAATATATTTTTGTAATTTAAAACATTATTTTTATTGTTAATCAAAACATTTCTTAAGTATTATTTTATTAAGCCGTATCTTAAAATAAAAAATAGAAACTTTTTAACAAAAAAATAAAAACCGACTTCAAACAAAAGCACTAAAATGTAAAAAATAACTGATTGGTAGTTTAAGTAATTAAAGCCTACCTATTAAATACATACCTAATCAAATATTTTCGAAATCGGTGCCAGCCCATACAAAGCAAAGCACACCGACTTCGAAAATATTTGATTAGGTATGTATAGTAAATGAAGTCAGTTTTTATTTTTTTGTTAAAAAGTTTTTATTTTTCCCTTTTTAGTGTAGACAGTAGTAGCAAAGTAAGTATTCTAAAGTGTTAGGCTTGTCAAACCAAACAAAATAAGCCCAAAACTCAAAGTATCTACTATTAGTCATTGAAGAGTTCCACCTATCCACCTTCTGGCCTTACCATTAGATCAAGTCAACAATACCGAACCACTGTACTATCAACGGAAATAGAAACACTTGCAAAGTTTCAAGTCAATATGACAATTAGAAGTAGGTTAAATTCATTATTAGCTATTTTTCCACCCTTAGGGGTGGTATTTTTTTTTTGAAATTTAAATGGAACCAATCTGGAAGTATACCCTTTCAAACAAAACAAAAATTGTCCAAATCGGTTAATAAATGACGAAGTTCTGAGGTAACAAACATAAAAAAATAAAAAATACAGTCGAATTGAGAACCTCTCTCCTTTTTGAAGTCGGTTGAAAAACAAACCCATGTAAGACCATTCGTCCTGTTGTGTATCTCTAGACGGTCCTCTGTCTATATATAACAACTAATTTACTTAGATCTTGTAATTAAGAGTTGAATTTAATAGGATTACTTAAAGTTGGGTAACCTAATAGACAAATGACTTTAATTTCGTTTTTTTTTGGATCATACAATACGTACGAGTACATACAGTAGGTAACAGCTGTCTTCCGTAAGTTCATAAAGGTGTAAATATACGATCGGGTTTTGTTCGATGTAGCATAGGATTTTATAAGACACGAGTGACTTATCCTCCCTTCGCTTGGGTGCGTCCCTAGGTAAGTTTTAAAAAGATATGAATATTGTGAGTGTACCATATGAGAAAAACTAATGCTATCGCACATTTGTCTATAGGCCTTCTGAGGAGTCCGACTGGATGGATACTATTACCACCCCCTTATACGTCTCTGCCGCCAAGCAACAATGATTACATTGTTGTGTTCTGGTTTGAAGGATAAGGTAGTCAGCGTAATTACAGGCAAAATGCATATCATCTTAGTCCTCACAGTGACAACACACGTGCGGTTCTGCATTTTTGTTACATAAAACCTAAGCGCATGAACCGTAGGTGTTATGGGCGACATGTACTACTTTCCATCAGGTGGTCTGACTGCTCGTTTGTCACTGAACCCCTTAAAAAAAATCAATATTTCTTATTTTTATGAATATAATACAACACAACATACGACAACGTGGCAGGCCCAGACGGAGATGGAGGGATGAGTTGGACGTCTGTTTTTATCAAATCCACGCTGTGTTGGTCAATTATTGAATAAACTTATGACTTACTTAGAAATATGTTACATTTGTACTTCTTCGAAAGTTGAATAAAAAACATCATCTTAATAGCTAATAGCTAGAAATTAAAATGTTTAATTATAATTTTAATTGTAAGTCCTACTAATTTAAAAAAAATATTATACTAGTAGACACATTAAACTTACCATTAGTAAAATTCTAGGGTTTTATAAAAGCCTTGACAAACGTCATTACTACTAGTAATTATGCAATAATAATAATATGTAATATGAATTCTAAAAAAAATCGTGCAAGTATATTTTTTATTAATATTACTCAACGTTTATATATTCATAAATTTTACATTTCCTCTTTATTCATTGACTTACGAATTATATCAATGTATGTATTATAAAAATTATATAATTCTTTTTGTTTCAAGGTTGGGTAACACTTTGCGAGTTGTGTCACTTTTAGAAAGTTGTCGAGTGTCGTGCTTAGCGCGACTGACTATTTTTGATACTTTGACTAGTAGGTGGTCAAAAATATAAAGTTGTCAAAATGATCAAAAATATCTAAGTTTACTATGTTTTCAACCATCAAATTGCAATGGGTTCCTAACCCGTAGCTGACGTATTTTATATTTTTAAGAAATAGAAATTGTACAGATTTTAGTTTAAGTGAAATATCTGTGTTTGTTTTTATCATATTTTATTTAATATTGTTAATGATTAAGAAATAATGTCCTTCGAGTACTTGCCCGTAGCCGAAGATGAAAATGAAGAACCCATAGAACTTCCAATCGAAGAAGATGGGACTTTGATGTTAACAACAGTGTCTGCGCAATTTCCTGGATGTTGTGGACTTAAGTATCGACATCCCGAGACGAAAACGTTCAGAGGTATCAGATTAAGAGATGGTAGGTTGTACCCACCTCCAGAAGGTTGGGGCAATTATTTATACATCTGTAGTTTTCCTAAGGAAAATAAACGAAAATCAGGCGAAAATTCTGAAACATCTTCCATCAAAAGTAAAAGAAATGATAATTTGTGCTCTGATTTAATAGTATTGGGATTGCCATGGAAAGCTACAGAGCAAACTGTTCGTGAATATTTTGAAAAATTCGGTGAAGTTTTAATGGCACAATTGAAACGCGACCCTAAAACTGGTATGTCAAAAGGCTTTGCTTTTATTCGATTTTCATCATATACATCTCAGATGAGAGTGTTGGCACAGAGACATATGATTGATGGTCGTTGGTGTGATGTGCGAATACCAAATTCTAAAGAAGGTTCTGTTGCTTCTATGCCATGCAAAGTTTTTGTTGGGCGTTGTACTGAGGACTTATCAGCTAATGATTTGAGAGAATATTTCTCACAATTTGGAGAAGTTACAGATGTGTTTATTCCAAAACCTTTTAGAGCCTTCAGCTTTATCACATTTTTGGATCCAGAAGTTGCACAAAGCTTATGTGGTCAAGATCATATTATAAAAGGTGTATCTGTAAATGTTTCTAATGCATCTCCTAAACAAAATAAAAGTGGTTCAAATCAACGAAACTTACCTAGTAGAAATTATGAAGAGGGTCATCCTCATAACTCCTCAAATAACAACTCCTGGAGTAGCCGGAATATGGATATGGTGAACATGCAAGCTTTAGGCCTATCTGGGCAACATGGTCAAACTGCAGTAGCTGGAGGAGGTGGTCAAGGGCAAGGTGGCAATATGCCTCTTGGGATGGGTGGGCTACCAGTAAACCAGGCACTAGTTGCAGCAGCATTAAACCAAGCAGCTGGTTGGGGTCTCATAAACAACATACCATCAGGTGGTTCTGACCAAGGTGCGTTTGCAGGTCCTGCATCATCTGCTCCTGCACCACCTAATTTTCTATCATGGATGCAACAAGGTAATTCTGCACAGGGACCTTCTAGTCAATGGGGACAGAGACATCAATCCCAAGGCCATTCTGTTTGATCCAGTGTCTGATTTGATAAGCTCACAATAATCTCTGTGATTGTAGCAAGAATTAGATAATTATTTTTTGTCATTATCTACAATACAAATGGGTTGTTTTGTTGGTGAAGAGTGGTTTGCTACTGATGTTATTAATTTATTATGGTATTGCTTGTGTTTTGTTGTTTTCTTGAAACTATAACTGTTACAATTGCATAGTCTAAAGTATTGGATACATGGAGAGCTGTAGGTAGAATCTTTGTTTTATAACAGAAGTAATTGTTGCTGTGCTTTAATTTTAATGGTGTTTAACCCACTAACTACAAAAAAAATTTAACAACTCAATGCTTTACAGAAAACTATCTTGCAAAATAGGGTCATATATAGCTGAATTTCAATTAAATATTTACAATTTGTTCTATCTTAGGGCAGTTATTAAAATTATTACTATAGCACCATTATTTTCATCTTTATTATTCTTTAATTTCTTACATTTTGCTACAAAAAAATGTTTAATTTGTTAAAATATATTGCCATAAAACTATTTAAAGTTCACTTATTTCAAGATATTTCTTGTTGATTATGAAAAAAAACTTTTACAATTGTGAGTTCATGTTATGTGATTTAGGCTGATTTTAAAAATGTGTATGGATTTTTTTATATATTGGTGTTTATTTTTTTACACATATTCTAAATAACACTAAAGTAACAATATCCTGAAACTAATTTGTACCTACCTATCATAGAGTAAGTGTACTGTGCTTTGTACATTCATAGGTACATATATGTTTTTACAACAGACTGTTGAAAGTTCATACTTGTATAGTAAAAGATAGAGGTCTATTGATTGTTATCATTGTTTATCAAATAATGTTGATTATTATAAATTTATTGTGTGTTTCCTCAGGATATGTGCAAATTGAGGGTAAATGTCTATTTTTGACTAAATAAATGGCTAGATATTTTTGTGACTAAGCAATGTGGAATTGTTCATTGAATGGATATACCTAGCTGTATATATTTATGTAAAAAGAGCACATAAATGTATAACAGATCTAAATGATGTTGGTACAAATTTTAAGACTGTAAATAAATTTCAGTAAAATATATAAATATAGATTATAATATAAAATTTCAATATATATTTTACCAACTTGGTGCAGTGTTTGTAAAACTTACTCATATGACTGTTGTAAATCAAATATATTTATATTACTTTTGAAAAGAGGTGGCTTAAAATATATGTAGGCTTTATCATTAATTGAAATTAAACATGATTATGAAGATAAATATATACAAATTGTAAATGATAATATTATGTATTAGATGCTAGGTATCATATCTTATTTTTCTATAATAAGAGGTAACATCAGTTTTGCTAAAATAAAATTTTAACTGGGATTCATGCAGTTGGGCAGAATAAACTTTCATTGCATAGCAAATACATAATTGATTCCTAGAAATATAAAGTATTGACCATATTATGTTATTTAGTCTGTGGGTTTGTTTGTTTGTTTTTTTATTTATATAAGTAGAATATCTATAATTATTATAGTATTTACCATTTTATTACTTTGACATGCTTGTAAGAAAAATAAAATAGATAATATTGTACATCCATGTATAGAGATAATATATTTAACAATTTCTGGAAACCAATTAAACCATAACTACAAATAGTACTTTTTCCTAAATTATATATTGTAATTAAGTATTGTATGTTTTGTTGATTATAAAAATATTATATGGATTTATTTTTTGTTTTCACTTTTTCTTTTAATAACTTATTTAAAGTGAACCATCACTGGTTCTTAACAGTGCCTGTTATTCAATTAGGTTATTGTGTTAGATTACCTGAAAAATATATTTTTTAAGCAAAATTGTCAATTTAATGAAACTTAGAATAGGTAAAAATTGAATTGCGACTCCAAAAGTCTTGACAGTGTTTATTGGTAAAAAACCCATTTCCACTTTTACCTATCATTTTCATGTTCAGTTTTTTAGTGCAATATATATATATATATATCCTGTGTAAATATAGTTATTCATATTCATGTGTGTGCTTAGTCATGGTTTACTTTGTATAAATAATAATACAATCCCACTGACTTCAATAGGATCAACCAAACACGGTGCTAATGTTATAATCAACAAACAATTGATTAATCTTTATTATATCAGTAAAAGAATGTTAAACATTAAATAAATGGTATAATTCATATTAGAAATAACGTATAAAAATATTGAAAATGTAAGTTCTTTTCAATTTTTCTTTTTTCTTTATTGCTAAGCTTGTGTCTATTTTCTTTTTCTTAAGACAGTGTGAAGGGTTTTTTGTATTATTTCTTTTATTGTATCGTACAAGTTACCTAAATAATAATCATCTAAAAACTTTAAAACACTGTTTACCTGTAATAATGGAAAAAATATTATCAACAGTGACATATTTGAGAAAGATATTTTTTGTAGTAACTGTGTATTTGAAATGCACCATTTTTTGTGTTCCACCTCCTAATGTCATCACCATCATCTATTTGGATTATGAATATTTATTTTATGTATTGTATTTGTAGATGTTAATATAGATATATTGCTGCTTTTCCCTTCTTAGCTTTTACTTATGTAATTTTGTCTCCACACCAGTTTTATTGATTCTATTGAATTTGTTTTGTGTCTGCGTTGATTTAATAAAGTACTTAAAACACGATGATTTGGTATAGCATGATTTAACAGACAATATTCTCCATTTACTGTTTATTGCTAAGTGTAAAAGATGTAACTACACTTAACGAAAATACGTTTTTCGCTTTTTTGAGCGTACGTTTATATATGTAGCAATATACTCTATGGCGTACGTTTTGTTTAATTGTTACTCGAATAAAATTATAAACTGTACTTTTTTCTGTTCAAAAGTTATAGTAATGACGGATATCGTTTCTGATGGCACTAGTTGGCGCCACTGGCGAGTGAGATCCTATAATTTAACTTTTTTAAAACCCATAATATTTATTGTGCCGTACCATGTCTGCCATAATTAATCAGGAATAGCACAATCTTTACAATAATCATACATATTAGTGAAAAACCACGTTATAAAGCTCGCAAACAGTAAACGTTCAGTACCACTATACTAGCGCCGAGTTCAAACGCGATAGCTCCCTTTGGTAATTCTTTGACCGACTTCAAAATAGTGTTAGATAATTCTAATTTCTATACACACAATAAGCTTAACGAGAACCAATCTAAATGATTTTTTTCTTTTAATTAACTAATGGTGATTTTTACCCGACAACGGCGAAGCCCAAAATAAGGGTATGTCGTACAATTTTATATAATCAATAAAATATTTAAAATTGTTTACTACAAACAAATGATTTGACGACATGTTTGGCTCAGTTTGTAGTGACCCTACTTGTTGTGCCAGCGGTCGTGGGTTCGAGTCTCGCTGGGGTAATTCATTTGTGTGATGAGCACGAAAGTTTGTACTCTAGTCATGGGTGTTTATATTTATAATATGTATGTATTTAAAGTTATATATGTGTAGTATATCAACTATCTGGTATCCATAACACAAGCCTCGTAGCTTACCATGGAACTAGATGGTGGTGAGTTTTAATGTCCCAACATATATGATAATTAACCGTTGCTGTTGTGTAGTAATCTATACTTACGCAATATAGTAAAATTATAACGGGGTCAAAGTTTAACATTGAATAAATTTAATAAATATTGTTTCTATTTAATAATACAATAATCCAAATCAATAGTTTTTAGATACTTTAAGTTGGTATTTATTCATATCTATCTGTTTTCATATAATTAAACTATGGCTGGTTAAATTTTAATAAAATTTTATTGATCGGAGAGGAGTATACAAATACAGGAGTTACAACTTAGATATATCCGTGAGTTACAATGAATAAGTATTATTTATATTTCACGCTAAATAACATTACAAATAATATTGAAAAAATACAACTGGCACGGAATTATAGATTAATTATCTTTAAAGTTTCCTAGGTTTGAATAAGAAAGAAAAAATATCTATCATATACGTGATAGATATTCTTTTCTTGATAGATTTCTAGTTACATCAAAATGAAGTTTTTTGAAAAAATGTATGTAAAATATATAGTTTTAAAACAAAAGGTTTTTTAAAGTGAAAATTTCTATATGCAGGTTTGGATGGGGAGTAAATTCATGTAAATTGTAAGCCGTCAATCGTCATCGACACGGTCACGTGACGTGTTAACGCTAACACTCAGTGTGCCGATAGATGTCAAAACCAGTTAAATGTAAACAGTTTTAATTTACAAAATTTAAAAGACAAACAATTAATTTGAATATCCAAAAATAACAACGGTTTGTTTATAGTTTTCTCTTCTGTCGGCAGTCGTCATGACTGTTTTTTTAATATAAGATGTTTATCTTCGAGGTATACCTGGGAGACTGGAGTGTGCACGAATTGTAGAGGGCAGCACTTCTGTCGAAAGTAAAGCGCCCTGGTGTTAAATAAGAAAAATATAGTGATGTAAGCAGTGTAATAAAGAATATTAGACTGTTATGCCAAATTATTTGAATCAGATCATATTTTAAATGTAAGGAGATGAAAATAAGCTATCAGTCATAACCTACACAGTTGTCGCTCAAAGCAGTGTTTCTAATGTATACAATGTGACAATTACTGTCAGTATTAAAAATAGTTTTTATAAATTAACTGTATCATATTGAAAATAGTAGAAATCTGGTAATATTTAAGTATATATAAAACTAACTTGTAGGGAAATCGATGTGTAGGTACGTTTCACGCAAAAAGTACTAAAGACGATTTCAACTAAACTTTAAATACCTAGTGATAACTTATTACTCGGGTCAATATTTAGGATACCTTCTACTACAGGCAAATTTTTCATTCCCACAGGAAAACACAATAACTGGTTCTATCAAGTCGTCCTTCGAAATTTACGAGAATATGGCTAACGCTGGCTAAACCTTAAGAGATAGATCAAAACAATGTACTAGAAAATTGTAGCATATGTCTCTCTCCTAAGGTACACTCGCTATAGCTATTTTTACTATATGTTACAAGCAACTTACCCTCGCTTCGCTCGGGTTCGTCCCTAGATACCTTATTACAGTTAGTATGGAATACAAAGACTTCATAATCTATGTATGTATACATATATATATACACATAGGTATGAGGGAACATAGGGTTGGAAATACATACACTTATTATATAAGTGTATACTACTTCTTTTTTGGGCTTAGATCATAGATTATATTTTTAACTAACAATGCAATATTGTTCGACTATAGGTAATGGTGATTTAGTTCAGAACTTATTATAAGTTAGCGCTGCTCAACGTGTTAACGAAAATATTTCACGAAGCCAACGGCAGAAAAAAGTAAATTGTCTGTTTTTTTTTTAATTTTTGATGCATATACCTAATACATCTAATACTCCTTAGTTACGTAAGTAGTTAGTAGCAGCTGACATAATCATGACGTTTCATTATCATTTCCCATAACTTGTTGTTTAAAATACTTCTATAAATTTAATTTACTAAGGACATTAACTAACTGATAAAATTATGGATCCACAAAGAAAAACAGCAGCTGGTCCAATGGCTCCCACCAGTGTAAAAACAGCACGTAAAAGTTTTGCGGTTACTAATACATATATTAAAAATGTTAATCCTCAGAAACAAATTATAACAGTTCACACTAGTACGCCCAATGTCGAGCATCGATCTTTTCAGAGCGAGCAAAATCAAATTTATAAAGGCAAAGTCAATGTACTTTCGATTATGTAGGTATGAATTGCTAATTTATAGATTTAACTAGCCACTCACCCTCGCTACGCTCGTTTTCGTCCCTACTTCCGTTTTAGCGTTTACTATAGATTTCTCAGAGATGAGATATTTTCCAGTAAAATTTTTCGCAGTAAAATATATCCTATATGTTGACCCGGATAACCAGCTACCGTTATACTAAATTTCATTAAAATCCCTCCTGTGGTTTTTCCGAAATGCGGTCACAGACATACAGGCAGACGAAAATTCGAAAAACTATAAATTCGGCCTCTGAATCGATAATAATGTCTATTTCAATAAGATTTTCCAAAAAATATTTAATATACAGATTCGGCTTACTTACGATTTTATTATATGTATAGTTGAAATATTAACAAAGCAAAATCTGCATATGAAATATTTTTTAAAAACAATAATTCTGTTACGTATTGTGTACAGAGAATGTAGACACAAAAACAATAGTTGTTAGATATAATGTTTGTCTGTATATTTATGTGCATTTGACACTAAACGGATTTTAACTAAATTTTGTGATTACTCGGGTCCACATTATAATTACTAACGGACTCACGCTCTCTTTGCACGGGTTTGTCCTATATAGATTAGGTACGTTTTAACAGTTAGTATGGAATAGACAATATGTATACAAAGGTATGAGTTGTTGTGTTAACGTGTATTCTCGGGGGAATGAGATAATCTCCCCCGGTAAAAAGTCTGTCACTCTCCAACCTTTCCAACTAACTCTATATATCTATTTTAATTTTTAAGATTTTGACATTTTCCATTGCCCCTAATTTCATTAATTCTATATTTTAGTGATACCAATAAGGAAATTATGTGTTGTAAATATTCAGAGGATGTAAACAAGGATATAGCGGCTGGTTTCATTGATGGCACAATAAGGATATTTGATTGCAATTCTGGTGATTGCACACATACGCTTGTAGACGATGAATGTCGAGTATATCCCGGTCCAGTAACGGCTCTAAAGCACAGACCAACTAGTAAATCACATCCTATAACGAACACTCTGTTATCTTCCTGTAAGTCAATTTTATATCATCGATAGCCCAAACTTAAGAAAGAGCAAGAGTTAAGAACTAAGATAGTTCATTTAGTAGTTAAAAAATATTTCAACTGAAAATTGTAAAGTTAACCGACTATTGTAAGACGAGTTCATTAACTTTGTTCTGATAATCTTAAAATAAACGAACTATTTTTTATTGTGTATTAATAATTAACTTAATGCTAGTAGACATTATTTTTAGTTAAAGATCCAATTTTAGAACTTATTTCTTTGGATTAGTGCATTACCCAAAAGAAATATGAATTACATTTTGTAGATGTTAATGGATGCATAAAATGTTGGAAATATAAATATGAGCAATGTTTGTACACAATAAGAGAGAAACGACAAACATTGGGCCTGTGCTATCATCCACGACATCCAAAATTTGTTACTTTTGGTGATGACGCCAAACTCAATATGTATGACGAAGAAGCACAAACGCAAGAACGCGCTTTTTATTCTAGGTGATTTACTTATACGTACCTAAAAAATATAATAGCATATTTAGTAATTGTATTGAAATCTAGGACATGAATGAGTTATAATAGAAATCGAATAGGTTTTTTAAAGGGTTTTTGTGGAATTATTCTTACAACTAGCATGTCCCGCGGCTCCGCCCGCGTTCAGATTATAATTAACAAAATTCTTAGGTTCTACATATGAGTATACTCTTGCAGTTTTTGTATTTTTCACAAAAAGGAAATATTTTCCCGCGGTAAAAAGTATCCTGTATGTAGACCTGGATATCCAGCTACCATCATACCAAAATCCATCAAAAACCCTCAAGTGTTTTTTTTGTGATGCGGTAACAGACAGACAGACAAAAATTCTAAAAACTATAGATTCGGCCTCTGTATCGATAATAATGTCTATTCCAGTAAGATTTTCCAAAAAATATTTAATGTACAGATTCGGCTCAGTTAGAATTTTATTATATGTATAGATTATGTTGAATGATATAACCTCAGTTGTTAAGTTTATACTGCTACTCATAGATGGCGCTGTTTTGTATTTTCTGGGTTTATATTACTCTTAACTTATTAGTCTAAGCTGCTGTTCAACGAAATAACGATTTCATTGGTCAAGAAATAGATACAAATATGTTGTGGTGGTACATTTTAAATTCTCAGTAGGTACTATTGAACTTACAAGACTGGGAATGGTTAAATTATTTATAAGTTTCATTCATTCTAAAAATGATTATGACACAATACTATACTAGTATTTGTAACGTGTTAATAATTAAAATATCTATACATAAAATAAAATTGTAACTAAGCCGAATCTGTACATTAAATATTTTTTGGAAAATCTTATTGAAATAGACATTATTATCGATACAGAGGCCGAATCTATGGTTTTCAGAATTTTTGTCTGTCTGTGATACTTTTTACAGCGGGATAATGTTTCACTCCTGAGAAAAAATACAAAACCTGCAATGTAAGAGTATGCTAATATGTAAAACCTAAGAATTTGGTTTTTGGTCATCTGTACGTGGCGGAGCAATGCTAGTAACTTATAAGTTACTTAATCATTTATCAATAGAGTATATTATTATTAACTATAAAAAATTGTAGTCAGCGGAAAAATATAAGAGATGGTCATACATCAAGAATATTCGCCTGCGTTTTCAATCCTAAATCACATCATGAGTTTATTTCGGGCGGTTGGGATGATACCGTTATATGTTGGGATGATAGACAACCTTATGCAACACGCTTTTTCTCCGGTGTACACATGTGCGGAGAAGGCCTAGACTTTGATAAACCTGGCAAGCAGGTTCGATTTTTTTTTTCATCAAAAATTTAGAATAGACTATAAGGTATACTAATATCTAGTGTTTTGTTTACTAAATACTTAAATATTTTATTTTATAATCGATACATTTTAGATTCTTACATGTTCTTGGCAAGAAAAAGATAACATACAAATTTGGGACTATGGGTCATGTAAACTTATGGAGACCATTGTACCAGATATTTACCAGTCTAAACTGTATTGTGGAAAATTTGTCCCAAAAACTAATTTAATTATATGTGGTGGCTCTGATCCTAATATTTTACGTGTAATTGATATCAATATGAAAATTGTAAGTAACATTTAATTTCGTTTCCATTTCACTTATATGAAGCACTACCTATAGATAGATGTCTACCTAACAGAAGAATTAATTGAATGGAATATAAAATAATTTAGTATTATAAAGAGTTACAGGCTTGCGACTTCAAATCAGCGTTAAGAAGGTTAAGGCAAAAAAAATAGCTTATTCCGATTTGTCACTAAAAATGCTAAGCCTAAAGTGTATAACTTAATATTTATCTATAACAGAAGATGTTAACATTTTATATATATATATATATATATATATATATATATATATATATATATATATATATTTATTGTCGCGTACGTAAACGGCGCCTAATGATATTCAGCCATCAATCTAACAGAGCCTAGTCAAATAACTTTGATCGATAACGTTTAACTAGGTACTTGCCTAGCCTAGTCATTTAAATTAAGCTCATTTATAAATTTTTCATTTAATATTTAGATGGTTCTAAAGCATTTTTTTTCTAAAGTCCCTAGTCGTTTTTGTCTCAGCCATTGTGGTCTCAGTTCTAACCTAACCTACCCTTTTTGCCGAGTAAACCATGCGATGAACTGTTCATTTAATTACTTTACATAAATAAAGAATTCTCAAAATTGTAATACTTCATATTCTGTAGTCTTTATTAATATTATAAAGAGGAAAGATTTGATTTTATGTTTGTTGGTTTGTATTGAATAGGGAGTGAAAATGGGGATGAAAGTTTGTATGGGGAAGCAAAACAGGGACGAACCTGAGCGAAGCGAGGCTGAATTGCTAGTTTCATATATTTTCGTCACAAGGTTATCCCGTTTTATGAACGGCCTAAGCCTCTGCCAGCCCGTTCATTAGGTAAATGTTGTATTAGACGCTACGACTGGATATCATTCACGCCGTTAGTTGAACGGCGCCGTTTAGTTAAGAGACTAGGCTGTTAATCGAACGGCTAATTAAACTAGTTGGCTGCGAAATATACATGTATGTACATCTAAGGCGTATACGGTGTGTGTAATATATGTACCTACTACACTTACTATGCATGTATGAACATTTAAGTTACTAATATATAAGCTTTGAAAATAAGACTTTTTTTGAATATTTTTTAAAGAGACTAATATTTAACCACAATTCGACATTGTATGCCCATAATTTTTTATGGGCATACAATGTCTACACACACAAAGTCAAAATACAAAAATCGTTCAAATCATTTTAAGGTTCCGGAACTTATCAGGAAAAATGGAAGCTTTATAGGTTTTATCATTAGTAATCTGTCTGTCCTTTTACCACTCTATACATGTTCCGAATCTAATGGCAGAAAAGTTAAAATTATAAACATATATTTAGACTGTTAGGTAAACCAATGTATGATACTTATATAGAGCTACTAAATTAATTCTAGTTTTAATGCTTTTTTTGCGGATCATACTAGAAATTTTATATTCTCCAAGGGGCACTCAAATTAACTGAGTACATAACATGTGGGCTTCTTGTATTTTCGCGAACATAAATAACATTTTTGTAAATAGTAGTGGAGCCCAAGAGGGGATTTTGGGATTTACTCAAGCGCGGCAGATTAACATAAGGGATCCCCCCTTATATATTATATAACCTTGCACTCTGTCGAGTACATCTACCATATTTATGGTGGGCTAATTACATGCTGAAATGTGTGTAGTTCAATAAACTTTATGGACGATTCTTATTACTTCGTTTTCTGGAAATCGGCAGATTATATTGAATTGCACACTCCAGCATGTAATAAATAGACCACCACACCTTAATCTGGCGCGCTATACAGAAGACTTATATATGGTAGAGTTACTCAACAGTGCAAGATATCCTGCCTTATGTTAATCTGCCGCTCTGGAGTAAATCCAAAAATCCCCTCTTGGGCTCTCCTACTACAATGTTTAATTTTAGTTGTAAGCATATTACTTAACTTTAAATGAACAAGAATAAGTTCTTTCTTTAAAAAATAAAGATTTATTAATTCCAAAACCAGTGCTATACCACTTCTGATGCCCTCACTTGAAAACAAGTGCAGTTAAAAAATAGTTGGTTAAGAGGACTAAATTGGAAAGATCAAATTTCCTTAAATATTACATTATGATTTATTGGACTAAGATCGGACAATAACAACGGTTACCATGGCAAAGATAGATTAAAGTGAAAGAGAATTAGCGCGTTAGTTATTTGTTTGTTGCCATGGTAACCTTTGTTATTGTCTGACAAATGACATAATATTATATTCTTTCCTTCTTTTCTTTCCATTGCGGCCACTTTTACATAGGTAGAGGTATTTTATCTTGCACAGAAAAAAATTGCTTTAATTTGATATATAAATGATTAATATACGCCATGAACGTATAAATGTAACAAAAACATTTTTAATGACTCGCAACCACTTTTGCGACCACTTTTACATAGGCAGACGTAGTTTATCAGGTACAGAAAAAAAATAGCTTTAATTTGATATATAAATGATAAACATACGCGATGAACGTATAAACGTCCCAAAATATGACCCGCTTACATCTGGCTGCGAAGTGGTTACGGCCAAATACGCAACGCTATCATTTTTCAAGATCTCTACGTATAGTTTTGTGAAGTGGAGTATAATTCATTGTAATAACAAATGTATCGTTTTTATTTCATAAAGTCAACTATTATTTAGTTAATTAAACATACTAGCGGGCACATTTGAATAGGCACCCCGGTCAAAACATATTGTCCCTTTTATTATTGTATATAAAAAAATGATTTCGATTTTAAATACGCCATGAACGTAGCAATCTTGCAGTGGGATCTCGATCCATGTGACTTAAATAATCCATTATTGCACAGCGTGAGTTAGCGCTGGATCATAGTGAGGGTGCTAAACGTGACTTAAATTATTCACGAATTCTATTTTATACCTCTCTTAATGTTAAATGTGGGTTTAGGTCACTTAGTGCTAGAATATTTTTTTTCTGCAAAAATAGCTTTTAAGAAATTTGATATTAAGTAATTTTATACAAAAAAATCTATATAGTTTAGTTGTTTCCCCATACAAACTTTCATCCCCATTTTCACCCCCTCAAGCGATGATTTCTGGGATAAAAACTGTAAAAAGGTCTCAAAGTATCTTCTTAATAAATTTTATCTAAATCGGTTCAGTAGTTTGGGAGCTTATTCGGTACAAACAAACAAATCTTTAATCTTTATAATATTAGTATAGATTGGTTAGAGCTCTGATTATTACAATTATTGATTAGTATAGTATATATATAGTTTATGATTGTCACGTGTATGGGGGTTATTGTTTATAAAATTTTCTTCATTTCTTTTATTAAATACAATAATTGCCAGAATATAAAATGATTATAGATTATATTTTTAACATTTGTTATAGACTGAATGTTCAATACGTAATAACCCAGGCGATGTATACGGCTTCGACTTCGGAACAATAAGAAGAAAAGCGACTAAAGTATTAGATACATATGAAAAAGTCAAAGAAATAGGGGATTCTCCTCGAGTTGTTTTTGTTACTGGGAAGAGACTTCAGACTGTAGATTTTGGCTAAGCAAATGTGATAAAGATGAAAGAGTAATATAATAGATCAAAATCGAGTGTGAACAAAATAAAAAGAGCCTTTAAAAGTTGCACATCCGTTGTATCGAATTTATTTTCTTTTCTCAACATTTCTACTCACAAACAGACGTTTAATACAGTTTACGTGATAGACAAATACACTGTGATTTCATTTTGTAAATAGTATATAAAACTCTAGAATGATAAAATATCCGGTTTGGCAAGAATTCATAATAAATAAAACCTAAAAACTACTACATAGTATTATACACAGGATTCGAACACCTATTATTCGACCGATTCAAGTTGAGCCTCGTCAACGGATGGGTCTTCCCATGCTGCAATTGTTTTTTATTTTGAGCTTTCGACATCACAGTAGATACCACATTCGTATATTCGAGAGGCGCGAGCGCCAACACCGTGGGCGCCACCGGCGGCCGCTCCCCCGAGCAGTACGAGGCGCGCGGGGGCGGCGGGGGCCGCGCCTCGCCCTCCGACGCCGTCAGCTTGCACTTCTTGGAGACCGACTCGTGCGGCGCCTTTGGCCGCGGGGGCTCCCCACCGGACTCGCAGCGCGTGCGGCCGGGCCGGTCGTAGCGGCCCACCAGCACGCGCACCGAGCGGTCCTCGCCGGCGGGCGTGGGCGGCGCGCGGCGCGGCGGCTCGGCCTCCAGCCGCGCCTCGAACTCCTTCTTGAGGTTGCTGACGAGGCCGGCGGCGGCGGCGGCGAGGGGCGCGGCGGGCGCGGCGCGCGGCAGGTCGCCGTGCGAGGCGGCGGCCAGGCGGCGGCGGCGCGGGCCGGCGCGCAGCCACGTGTCGGCAGGCGCGGAGGCGGACAGGCGCCCGCCCCACGTGCAGGCGCCGCGCCGCGCCGCGCTCGCCAGCTCCTCGAGGATGGCACACGTGGCGTTGAACTTGCGCTCGTTGGCGGCGCGGTCGGGGCGCTCGCGAATGACGGCGAGGTCGGGCGCAGGCGCGGGCGCGGGCGCGGCGCCCGATCCCCACGAGGGGTGGCGCGACAGGTCCGCCACCACCGCGCTGTCGACCGAGCTCCACGAGCTCTGCCTGCTCGGTGGAGGACCCTCTTCCTTGCGCTCCTCCGAATCTAAATTGCGTTCCAACGAATTGTATATAACGTCACTCGTTCTTAATTTCACGTCTATTATACCACTGTCACTCTTAACTATATCGTCACTGTCGATCGCGTTCGGTATCTCGTCTCGCCACGGCTCCCCGGGATCCCACGTGTGAATTTTTGCCGCATCCAGATCCGTCTCTGAATACTTTTGATCTAAATTTCGCTGCGGCGATCCCTGAGATTTAACACTGACGTCTTCCGAGGTGCGGCCGGAGCCGAGTTCGGCGCCGAAGTTGAGTCGCTGCGAGCGGCGCGGCAGGTCGCGGCGGTCGCCCGAGGCGGCGGTCTCTATCTCCTGCACGATGTGGCGCACGGAGAGCGCCACCTCCTCCTTAAGGCGGATGATCTGGTTGGGCGACACGCTGTAGCTGCCGTGGGCGCAGGGCATGAGCATGTGGCGCGTCTCGGAGGAGGCGAGGTGCTCCAGCGACACAGAGGTGGGCGGCAGCAGCTCGGAGGCCAGCTTGGTGTCGGGCGACCAGGAGCGCGGCCGCCCCGAGTACGAGCCCGTCAGCGCCAGCACCAAGGGCGTCGGATCCGTCATTTTGCTTTCTATTTTGGACGCCGATTTGGGAGCTTTGAGATTGGTCTCCGACTTTGACCGTTGAAGTTTCTCTTTGTTCTTCATGGCGTCCAGTATGCCTTGGTAAGTTTCGAGCTGATTGAGAAAATTCGTATTCGGTTTGATACAGCTTCTTTTCGCTTTTACATGCTTCAATGCTTTGTCGAAATTCCAATTGAAGGCCTTCATAGCGTAAGCTATGACGACAGAAGCGGACCTACTTATTCCCATTTTGCAATGAACGAGAACCTTGGAGCCCTCGGTTTTAGCTTTATTTATATACTTAAATGTATTATCCCAATGTTTTAGTAGATCAGTCTTTTCATCGTCGTAAACTCTAATATTTAGGTAATCAAACATACCCGGAAAAAAATTATCTATTTCTCTTGTCACATTGAGTATATGCCTGACCCTAAAAGAGAAGAAGAAAAATTGTGCTGTATAATAGTTATTTATGACAAAAAAAAGTAATCTAAATATTGTTTGTTTCTTACCCATTTCTTTGTAACTCCTCTAAGTTGCTAGCGTTCCACTCGGATCCAAGGTAAACGTGTTCGAATATCTCTGTGGGTGCATCCATTTGCCCGAGTATGGTGAGCATTTCTTGATCTATGAAGGATTTGAACTCGGCCAGGTCCATGTCCAGCTCGTCCTCGAGGCGGCCTCGGATCGCCTTGCTCGTAACTTCATCGAGGTCCACGCTCATCATGATCTCTTTCAGCGTACACCTGATTACCCGTTCGGTTTCGTCTCTCTCGCGAGGCCTGTACAAATAAAGGGTTTATCGATAAACATCTATACTATATGTATTATCAAATGATTTTCAAATACCAATCTATTAAATTAAATAACCAATAAAACATAAACTTCAAATGTTTAACTAAGACATTATATATTACACATTCTGAAAAAAAAATTGAAAGTTTTATTTCATTGAATATCCGCCGTACACTTCGTTTATTTGTGATGATAATCAAAATTCATTAAATATATGAATAATTTGTAAGTATCATAATAATTATTTTGATTTATATTTTACATGCAGCTAATACGTTTAATTAGCGCATTTGCCAACATCCGATTCGTTTCGAGGTCAAGAAATGAGGTCTAGGTGCTTCTGTACGCGGTGGATATTACAATAAGGTTTTAGTTCAATTAGTATACATAATATAAAGAGTAACCAAACAAGTGTAACCAAATGTAGCACTCTTGTCTACATACAACAAAGAAACTATATCACAATTTTGCTATTTGAATGAAAAAAAATAAAACAGACTTGAAATAAAAGGGAACCTGTTTGATAAAACGAGTACAGAACGGAAATATATTTTGCTGGCTTAAATAATATTTTCCTCATTTGACTAATTAATTCTATGTACGAGTATATAGTGATAATTTTATAGAAAATATATAGCTGTACGTAACAAAATAAACAGCGTCAATCTTAACTCAATGATTAGTCAGACTAAGACCATATAAACATGTTTGGACTTTTATAGACACTTAGTTTCTATAACCTGAAACACAGGTTGTTAACCTAGTTCAGGTAGGTTCCAAATTGTATTGTATCCTTGGACATTTATTTTGTAAATATTATAATATAATAACTTTGTAAAAGTATTTTAATAAAATTATTATTATTATTTAATTGGAGGTCGTAGCTTCGAATTCTGGACGGTATGTATGGTACACAGGTAAGTAATGGCTTATGTTAATATTATTCAATCTTTATCTTTATATATATAATTCTTCTGTGAGTGTGTATGTCACTGAACTTCTCTCAAACGACTGGACCGATTTTGATGAAATTTTTTGTGTGTGTTCAAGGGGATCTGGGAATGGTTTAGATTCACAATTTGAATAATAATTTTCATCAAAAAAATTATTAAAAAAAGTTTGAAATTTTCAAATTAAAGACGTGTAGACAGGACAACGTCTATCGGGTCCGCTAGTCTATACATATAATAAAATTGAAACTAAGCCGAATCTGTACATTCGATATTTTTTGGAAAATCTTATTGAAATAAATATTATTATCGATACAGAGGCCGAATCTATGGTTTTTAGAATTTTTGTCTGTCTGTCTGTCTGTTACCGCATCACAGAAAAACCACTGGAGGGATTTTGATGAAATTTGGTATGTTGATAGCTGGTTATCCGGGTCAACATATAGGATAGTTTTGATCGCAGTCAAATTATCACTTCTGAGAAAAAAATACAAAAACTGCAATGTAAGAGTATACTAATATGTATTACCTAAGAATTTGGTTTTTGATCGTCTGAACGCGGGCGGAGCCGCGGGCAATGCTAGTTTAATATAATTTTTGAGTGAAAACGAAAATGAATTTCTGTAATAAATTTTCGCATGTTTACAAATGTTCTTTATTGCACCAAGTTGTAGGTAACTACGTACATATTTTGCACGTCTCTAAGTTCGTTATAACTCCCACAAAAATTTCAAAACAGCATGTTTACCATCAACATTGTAATAATGACGTAAATGTATTTATTGTGAGTTCAATAACCAGACTACTATTATAATATACGCGAAAATTTGTATGTTTGTGTTACTCCTTCATACTGCATGGAACGGCCGGACGGATTTGGATGAAAAGTACACGGTTAAACTATGACCTGGCTCGTGTTAATACAGATAACTGATTTGCCATCAGTATCTACTATCTAGGGATGCGCCCAGGAAAGTGAGGTGTGGTGCGTACTTGAGGCGGAGGGAGTCGGGCGAAGGCGGGCGCCGCGACTCGATGCAGTCCATGGCGTGCCACTCGTTGAGGCAGGAGCGGTCGGAGTCCACGCGGCGCTCGTAGTGCGCGCACCACGCGTGCGACGCGCCGCCCGCGAAGTGCGTGAGGTCGCGCGCGCGCGCGCTGGCGCGGTGCAGCGTCTGCAGCGCCGACCTGCAACCCGGTACACACAGTATAAAACCCATACAGTAGCAAGGCAATCGCCCTTTCATTTTAACAGGTTCGTCGAATATACTAATTTTCATGTACCTACCAATCTCCCTCATGTCTCGACCATTCTACGTGAAATTGGGGAAGTAATCTGTGCTTGGTTAGAACGTTTTGAAGCCATTAACAAGAAAAATCAATTGACTCATTTTCATGGCGAACGATTTCGAAGTTAAATCAATTTAGTACCATCTCGTGGCAGGTTACAGTTACAGCCTGCCACTCTGGGCCATGGGCAACCCATTACCCAACTGTATGGTAAAAGACGGCATTAGCTACAATCGGCAACTTTTCATGGCTGTAGCTATAATTTTAAATTTGTCATTTAAGGTTATGAAATCAAAATTTGTATAAAATTCGTTCTAAATTAGCTTAATTTATAACAACGGATTTACCGTTTGATAGAAGAAATTGTGAAATTTACCGATATTCTCTTACATTATTCTAAGTAAAACTTTTGTTTTTGGGTTAAACTATGCCTAGTCATCCTGTAAAATATACTTATATATATTTTTTTACTTACGAGCTATCTATTTAATAGCTATAATAAATAAAATTAGAAAACCGTAAACTAAATAATACAAAAGTACATACCACATAGCCTGTACAGACACAGGCTTGAATATGTGTTGCTGGTTGCATACGCATACGCTAAATCCTCTGTGGACAATGAATCCATAATTAGTTATTGTTCCTTGCCTCATAAATGTCTTTACTGGACAACGATGGCTTCTAATAATTAAGACCTCGATTACATATATACGTATTAGGCACATACAATTGGAGATATTATAATACTTTCTTATATTTACGCGAATATTTGACATTTTAAATAAAACTATCTTTTCGGATTTTTCGCGGATTTATTTGGATTTTTGGTTCCCGATAAATAAATCCACGAAAAAATCTGAAAAGATAGTTTTATTTAAAATGGAGATATTATATTAAAAATATATACTTTTGTAGGAAGGATTACAACAAAATGCATGAAACAGACTAATTTATTTTAAATTATGTGTAACATATAATTATTTTTTACTAGCCGACCCGACAGATCTCGTTCTGTCAAATCTAGTGTGTAGTTGCAGGCCAGGATTAGAAAAATGCTGTTTTTACATTTTTCCGGGCATTTTTTTCTGATTTTTCTCATCATAAAAACCTTACTCGGACTCGGACCTCAGACAGCGAATATTTGAATTAAAAAAAATAACCGAATTAGACCAGTTGTTCTCGAGTTTGGCGCTTAGCAACACATTTAGCGATTTATTTTTATATACAAGTATATAGAAGATAGAAGAAAAGTATACTTAAATTTCTTTTTGATCGTGATGACATTATTAATAAATATATACATATTCTAGTATTAATATTATAAATGCAAACGTTTATGTGTGTGTGTCTGTGTGTGTGTTCATTTCTTCATACTGCAACGGCTCAACGGATTTAAGTTGAATAGGCAATGAAGATAGCTTACCTAGGTGCTCCTACACATAGGCTACTTTTTATCGATATACTACGCGAGCGAGTAAACTGTTTAATTAGATAATTCATATTTTATATTCACAGTACGCAGAATAAAGCTTAAGACGGATAAGAATAAGTATTTTCATTTAAGATGAATATAATAATGAATCATGAATGTGCCTCTTAAGTTTACAATAAAATTTTACAGCAGCATTTAATTGACTAAAGTTGAGACGTCTCCTTTGGTTATTAGGCATTAAAGGTAATATTAAATATACGTAAGTGTGTATCTATACTTATTATAAAAATAAGTCCCCCGGCCGCGTCTTTCTGTCCTCCTGTCTGTCTGTACGCGATAAACTCGAAAACTACTGAACGGATTTTTATACGGTTTTCAACAATAGAAAGAGTAATTCTTGAGGAAGGTTTAGGTATATAATTTATTATGCTTTTATGTAAATTAGCTGAAATACGGCGACAAATGTTGAAGAGGTCGCAAAAAATCTCGCCAAATGGGAACTTTCCACGCGAACGCCGCGTAAACTAGCAAAGATACAGTTAAGTAATGTACTAGAGAATTCAAAATCTATAAAAATGCTACAAAAAAGTCCGCGATAGCATATCTCTATCTCTTACGGTTGACTTACAATAACCACTTTTATGTTAACATTTTTAATTAAAAACATTACGTTATTTTCAAAGTTATTTTCTTTAGTTCGGTATTAATCCTTATCCAAATGAATATTTTAGTTAGCTTAGTCATTTAATGCAGATTAAAATTGCTCTTTACACTAAATCAATCAGATGAATAGTTTTTGAGATATCGTTGTTAGAAGTAATTAGTAGCGAAACATTTTTAATGCTTGGCGAGCATTGAGATGCCTACGGCGAGTCCATCCCCTCTGCCCCGCATCGCTCGACCGCCTGCTCAAGCTATATAAACCGGGCGATGTAGCGCGCGATCCTAGGATACTTTTTACCGCGGGAAAATATCTTATTTCTGAGGTTGAAAATAAATTACCAAGTGCCGTCTTGGGTAAACTTTATGACGCTTCATCTTGTCACATGAATCGACAAAAAGTAACAATTATTGAAATGACTCATCTAAATAGTATAATAAAATAATACAAAAATCACTGTAGGTACATATATAATCTATACATATAATAAAGTTGTAACTAAGTCGAATCTGTACATTAAATATTTTTTGGAAAATCTAATTGAAATAAACATTATTGTCGACACAAAGTCCGAATCTATAGCTTTTAGAATTTTTGTCTGTCTGTCTGTCTGTTACCGCATCACGAGAAAACCACTGAACAGATTTTGATTAAATTTGGTATGATGATAGGTGGTGGTTATCCAGGTCAACAAATAGGATACTTTTTACTGCAGGAAAATATCTCATTTTGGAGAAAAAATACGAAAACTGCAATGTAAGAGTATACTAATATGTAAAACCTGAGAATTTGGTTTTTTGTCATCTGAACGCGGGCGGAGCCGCGGGCAATGCTAGTAATTAATAACTCTACGAATTCAGCTCATGAAAAAACCTACACATTTATATACTATAATAATTAGTGGTAGTAATAAATAAAATATTGTTAATAATTTCTAAAAAATAATTTATGGCGAATAATTGCGATGGAATTATTTTGAATTACATTTTTTTTTTAGTTGTTGGTCATGTTCGATAGGTTTTAGTTTATAATCAAATGTTTATAGAGTTATTTAATATGTTTAAACGAGGCATTATAGACAGCGGATTTCAACGAAGGTTACGCTAACTTAACATTTTAATCAAGGGCATTCCTATCACTTGCAATGTTCTTGGATTTAAAGGTATACATATTTTACAGTATATATAACATTTTTTTGTTCGATTATATTACATTACAATTATCAATATAGCACGTATTACAAGATCGAGAAAACTATATACAAATACGTCATGATGGATCATTATGAGTTATAATTTAAAAGGAAAGACAGAACATACGATAATACCTACTAAAAACAAAAAAAAATATCACAAGTAGTAGCCAGTTTTTGCTTACCCATCTCCGTCTAGTTTAATGGAAGTGTCCGCGAGGACTCGCAGAACGAGCCCGACCGTTGTTCGTTCATTGCAGTCGATCCCCAGTAATGCCGCTTCGTCAACGCGACACACTACTACCAAGTATCGCGTACGACCTGGGTGAGCGCTTTCCAGTTTCACCGCCTATTTAACAATATGAAATTATTACTTCTGATCTATGGCAAAAATTATCAGGAAAAAGTAATAAAGCAAAACCCCTCCTTAATCTATACATATAATAAAATTCTAACTGAGTCAAATCTGTACATTAAATATTTTTTGGCTAATCTTATTGTAATAGACATTATTATCGATATAGAGGCCGAATCTATGGTTTTTAGAATTTTTGTCTGTCTTGTCTGTCTGTTACCGCATCACAGAAAAACTACTGGACGGATTTTGATAAAATTTGGTATATATAGCTGATTATCCGGGTCAACATATACGATACTTTTTACCGCGGAAAAATATCTCATTTCTGAGAAAAAATACAAAAACTGTAATGTATACATACTAATATGTAAAACCTAAGAATTTGGTTTTTGGTCATCTGAACGCAAGCGGAGCCGCGGGCAATGCTAGTAAATACATATTGAATCATAACGATCAATACCCAGATTGGTAAAGTATGTGTAAGATATACCATTTTGAGCGTCTCCTCCGGGCGCACCAAATAAAACATGGACCGTAAGTGGTGATGAATGTCCGGTTGGGGAATCGCTGGAGCAGGTGACTGTCGCTGGTCGGTGCACCCTTGTTTCGAGCCACCCAACACCAATGCTGCGCCCTTGTTTGCAAAGTAACACTCATTGAGACTGTAAAAGAAATAATATATGTATACTAAAGGTAAAATATATACTTAATTATACATTAAGTAACGGGGATACCTAGGGGCCGTTCATAAAATACGTCACGCAAAAACAGCTTTTTTTTTGATACCCCCTCTGTGTCACACTTTCTGTGACCCCCTAGAAAGATTTCGTCACAAAAACTAAGACCCCCCCCCCTCTCTCCCCTCCTTGTATGCGAACGTATTTAATGAACGGCCCCCTAGTCGTTTAAATATTAAATTAACTCTTCGTCAATTTTTACAAGATGAACACCCTTATTAAGATTAAGAACATTGGCTTAAATCTCATGTTTAATATATTTAATATTAAACAATATATACGTTTAAATCCATTTAAGCTGACACATAATGGTAGAGTATATAGATAGAGTTTGTAAACAAAATCGTAGACTAAGTAATAATTGGACCAATTAATTGTTATTGACATAATGAGTATATCGGGCCCTTTTGCAATTACCAAACTTATTTACTCTTTGAATTTACTAATAACATATATAGATGTATGTATATCTTAGGTACGTAATTTCATTTTTACTATGAGTAATATTACTCGATGTTACGCACACTGTAGTTTTATAACAAGTCTTAAAACTATCGCTAATTTCACTTTTACCTAATTAGTATTATCTGTTTGTTAATAAATATTCGTTTGATTTCTAGGAATATCGTTCTTGCTATCAAATGTCTTTAAGTATAATGTAGAGTAAAACTCCTATTAAAATATTAATTGTTAATATATACATAATAATAAAAGTGTAACTGATCGCTGTCTGTTCATGGAAGATACTTGAGAAAAACTATTATTGGGGATCTTTATTAACGCAATATAACCCAAAACAATAATTTTTGGAATTTTTGTCTGATTGTCTGTGCGTTTGGGAGCGCTAATCTCAGAAACGGCTTAACCGATTTGTGTGCGGTTTTCACTAATATATTGTGGTAAGCTTCACTTAACATTTAATGTTTGTCTTATTTCAATCAGTTCATAAATAAAAAAGTTATGTCAATTTAAAGAATTATCCAGGGATGAATCCGAGCGAAGCGAGGGTGAGTCGCTAGTGTCAATACAAATATCTAAAAATGTAATAGTAATTCAATTTATTGCGGTGTAGTAAGAAAACCTGTATCGCTATATTCAAGTTAAAACATTGCAAGTTAAAATTAAAATTTCTGACAAAAAACGGCATAGTTTAGAGCAGATACTAAAGCATTCGGTCTCATCAATTATCGGATGATAATAATTGAGACTACATATGTACTTGTATGTGTTGCAGCTAGTTACAAAGGCTTGTTGTCCTTCGAGCAAGTCATGAGAGTTAATACTAATTATTCGACTGTAATAATTGTTTTTTTTTAATAATGCAACCGCGAAATGTATGAATGACGCCATTTTTAGTAAAGTTGCGGCAATCCATTTTGGCGCGGCGGCGTTTACCTTCCTTTCACCGGAGCGCGACGCAGGCGCAACACCGTGTTCGTTCAACATAGGCTGCGGAGAGACGCGCTGGCTGGCCCTTGAGCCGTGGGCATGCCTCGATAATCAATATGTACAACACAACGATTACTCATTCAAAACGCTGGCAGATTTCAATAAATAGTATTGCCGTACACTCAATTTAATAGATACAATTTCGTAATATAATTTAAATATTTTTGTTAAATAAATATATCACCAAAAATAACACAGGGCCGTTGATATGTAAAGGAATATGGTTTTTGAAAATGTGCCATAAGCGTTTGAAGGTTGAAACTCAAAATAGATAGGAAGCAAGTGCCGCTGATCATACAATGACATTTAAAGTATGGGAGTTGTTCTTGACCTTAAAATAAAATAATCAATAAATTTTACATATACCTTTGAAGCTTTATAAGTGAATAAAATATCTATGTATTTAGTATCATAAATTTCAACATAAACATTAAAAAAAATATAAAAATGGAGAAAGAAAGTATATATGTTGATCAAGTAGCAGCAAATTTACGTTGACGCTTCCATTACAGAAGCAAGGGCGGTTGCTCTCAAGGTTCGTTAAAAATAGAGACGCGAGACGATGCCAAAGCCGCGTTGCCCGCTTATAGTTGCGCGTATATTAAATCGCCGTTTCTGCAGCCCGCTTCTTCATATATCGCTTTACCCAATTTAGGGCAGTGCGCGTCTCGCGCACATGCTGTGTCGTCGGTACGCGTCAAAACAATACGAATGATGCCTTGAAGAAATTGTCAAGTTTCTCTATTTAATTTATATTCAACTAGCATTGCCCGCGGCTCCGCCCGCGTTCAGGTGACCAAAAACCAAATTCTTAGGTTTTACATATTAGTTAGTATACTCTTATATTGCACTTTTTGTATTTTTCTCAGAAAAGAGACATTTTCCCGCGGTAAAAAGTATTCTATATGTTGACCCGGATAACCAGCTATCACCATACCAAATTTCATCAAAATCCCTCTAGTGGTTTATCTGTGATGCGGTAACAGACAGACAGACAAAAATTCTAAAAACTATAGCTTCGGCCTCTGTATCGATAATAATGTTTATTTCAATAAGATTTTCCAAAAAATATTTAATGTACAGATTCGTCTGGTTACAATTTTATTATATGTATAGATATATTGAATTCATGAGTAACTCTTCGTATGATCTTTAACCAACGTGAATGTGCCTACTATTGAAAGTAGGTATTCGTCTTCTTTAAGTAAAGCGTGTAGCTTTTAATTTAGTTGCTTTTTGTGGTTTAGGTTCGACTTATGTATCTACTTTAAATTTTATATTGTTTATATACGCAATTAAATGCATGCAAATTCATCTTGATTTCTTTCTGATCTTACTTGTTGTTCTTGATAGTAATTGTAATAAGTTTTTTTTTAAATGAATAAAAAAAATTACGAATACTACGAACTCAATGTTTATAAACATATATTAATAATAATATTTAGACCCATTAACATGTAAGATATGGCATATAAAAATAACATTTAAATTTGTTGAGTTCTATCTACAATTTCGAAAACTATTTGCCTTTTTGTTCCAATTCGCACATTTACCATACAGGTACATATTTATATATACACAAGTGACGTCATATTATATTAAACACTGTTTTTTAAAACACAATACGTCAGTCAAAGTCAAGCGTTATGTAATATATTAATTGAACTTAATTAATCCCTCCACACGACACGCCGGCGTGTCAGTTAACAATAGATTTCTTTGAATTTTAATTAATTTCTTAAAAATTTACCTGGAGATGTTAAAATGTAAGGGATCGAAAACAAAATGCATTTTAATAAAGTTGTTATTATTTTGAAGCATATTACTTATTTAAAATATTATATTAGTCACAAAATAATAGCTCAGCATATTGCTTACATTTTGAAATAGTCTCTTCAACCTCTATGCCATGGAAACCAGCATGACAATAACATCATCACTAACCTACTTCAAAGTGTAGATTTAATTATTTATTTCGATTATAAAATAAGAAATGTTTATCATAGAACAGATAGATAGATATTAGTAAAATATATATTATTTTGAAACGATGTCAAGTCACCTATTTTAAAAATATTAACAATTGCGATTCAACTATTAAAATATTTTAAAATTACCTATATGCGACCATATTTAAAACAAAGACGTATAAATGCCACACAATGTCATGTATCACTGAATATGGCACTAACACAAAAACTGAGGGACTGTGATCGCAATTTTCTCAACGGATGCGGTTTGTAAAATGGCATTCGGGCCACGGAGCGCACCTTGGTGCACCATCCGGCGCGTCCCGAGTTACAATATGGCACACACTAGACACGAGCAGTTCGCCGTAGTCCGCTGAACGAGCCCGTCGAGTAACGTCACGGCTTCCCTTTGAACCGAGCGCGAACAACCGCGTAAATATAGAAACTCGACACAGAACAGGAACACGAGGCGTTCAAAACCACGTTTTGCATTTGCTGTGCAATATATACACGCTAAAACTGTTATTCCGTTCTGACGAATGCTCAATGCCCGATAATAATACATATTATGACGATAACCAAACAAATCTCCCATCACGATCAAAATAGTTGCCATTGAGAGTAATTTTTGCGTTATAAATATGATATTTACTTAGCTTTTTGTCGATTAACACATGTACAAATTATGTATTTCGAGAAAAGATTTTGTTTAACTTAAACTCTTTCTCGCTCTCGCTCTTCCTTGCTATATATCCCACACGGTGGGGGAGTCAGCCTTCCTTATTTTTCTCTTCCATTTGGCACTATGGGAGAATCGTCTTCTTTGACACTAGATCTTTCCATCTTGTTTTGGGTCTGCCGCTGGATTTACGACCTGGGTTAGAAAGTTGTAGAGCCCAACCCACATTTAATTTAAACCTATTTTTAGTTAAATATTTTTCATAAGTATAATGTATAGGTACATATGTAGTATATCGCCAGTCGATTTGTTGATCATTTATCAGTTAACACCATATGTTAACTATCAGGCCACTACCATGGTACTGGTATCTACTAATAATTACATATATCAAAATTTGCCTTGAATAATGAAGATTGTTAAAATAATGTCAAGATCCACCGCTCCGAAGTCTTTACAAATCCAAATTATTGTTATCATCTATACATATAATAAAATTGTAACTAAGTCGAATCTGTACATTAAATATTTTTTGGATAATCTTATTGAAATAGACATTATTATCGATAGAGAGGCCGAATCTATAGTTTCTAGAATTTTTGTCTGTCTATATGTCTGTTACCGCGTCACAGAAAAACCCCTGGAGAGGGATTTTGATGAAATTTGGTATGGTGATAGCTGGTTAGCCGGGTCAACATATAGGATACTTTTTACCGCGGGAAAATATTCATTCAAATATTCATTTCTGAGAAAAAATACAAAAATTGCATTGTAAGAGTATACTAATTTGTCATCGTCATACATAATATTTGGTCATCTGAACGCGTGCGTAGTCGCGAGCAATGCTAGTATCTATACATCATTTATAATATTTAAAATTGGAGTAATGCTTTTTTTTTTGTATAATTTACAAATTCAGCCAGCTTAGTGAAATAATTTGGGATACATTAATGACATTCGGTGAATTTTAAATTGTTACGCTATTAGCAATGTGATATATTTAGAAACCTGTTAGCTATTATTACTAAATTTAGTTTTACATGGTAAAATAATAGTTGTTCAATTGTTTCAATATTACTAAAACTATAATACTATTCCCTCCACGACCGCGGACACGCCGGCGTGTCAGTTAACAATAGATTTCTTATGGCCGATTTCACCAACGTCAGCTAAGTTTAAGGCATCCCCTAAGCATGGTTAGGGGGCTGTAAGGGGACAGTTTCTGTTTCACCGACAGTTAGGGGTCACCTAAAAATTATTATTTTTTTATTAAAATGCCACTTAAATATAAGTACTAGAAGTACGGGCTCTGACGATGCTAAACGAAATTTAATTTAGGGGCTAGTTTAGGGGAATTTTTAAGCTAGGGATCCCATACGTAGGTGGTAGCTTATGATTTGTTAGTGAGATCGGACATTAGAATTTTAATTAATTTCTTAGAAATTTTCCTGGAGGTGATTATTTTTAACACCTCCGGGTAAATTTCTAGGAAATTAATTAAAATTCTAAGAAATATATTGTTAACTGACACGCCGGCGTGTCCGCAGTCGTGGAGGGAATATTTTACAACAAAATCATGCAAAGACCATTACCTACCTGTTGCTGGCACGATTTCCAACATCTTCATCAGTAACTTCAGCAGATTTCTCTCCTTCTTCATCCTGCTAAGAAAAGGAGAAAAGATAATTTGTATTATAATCTATAGGTACACTAGTATTGCCCGCGGCTCCGCCCGCGTTCTGATGACCAAAAACCAAATTCTTAGGTTTAACATATTAGTACACTCTTACATTGCAGTTTTTGTATTTTTTCTCAGAAATGAGATATTTTCCCGCGGTAAAAAGTATCCTATATGTTGACCCGGATAACCAGCTATCACCATACCAAATTTCATCAAAATCCCTCCAGTGGTTTTGCCGTGATGCGGTAACAGACAGACAGACAGACTGACAGACAGACAAAAATTCTAAAAACTATAGATTCGGCCTCTGTATCAAAGATAAAGTCTATCTCAATGAAATTTTCCAAAAAATATTCAAGGTACAGATTCGGCTTTGTTACGATTTTATTATATGTACCTATAGATATAATAAAATTGTAACTAAGTCGAATCTGTACATTAAATATTTTTTGGAAAATCTAATTGAAATAGACATTATTATCGATACGGAGTCCGAATCTATAGTTTTTAGAATTTCTGTCTGTCTGCCTGTCTGTCTGTTACCGCATCACGAGAAAACCACTGGACAGATTTTGATGAAATTTGGTATGATGATGGCTGATTATGCGGGTCAACATATAGGGTACTTTTTACCGTGGGAAAATATCTCATTTCTGAGAAAAAATACAAAAACTGCATTGTAAGAGTATACTAATATGTAAAATCTAAGAATATGCTTTTTGGTCACCTGAATGCGGGCGGAGGCGCGGGCAATACTAGTAATGTATAAGTCTAGAAAATTTGTCAGTGTCTGTATATGTTTGTTGCTTATTCACACTGTAACGACTTCAATAGATTTGAGCAAAATACTGAATGTAGATAGCTTATATCCTGGATTTCCACATAAACTAATTTTTATTGACGTACATACATTAGGTACGGTGTCGGCATGACTTTTTGAAAATATATATACATAATATATTATACGAATCGCAATATTTAGACTTACATAAAAACATAATATAGTACAAAATTATTGAAAAAAAGGGGATCGATGAAAACCTGTACAAAAGCAATTAGGTATTAACATTTTACGATATATACAGATAAACTTTATGTCATGTCAAAAGCATATGTCTTTTTTATATTTATGTAGGTATAACGACATGGCCGGATTTAGGGGAGGGCAACCGGGGCTAGAGCCCCGGGGCCTCCACAAGAGAGGGGCCCCCACCAAAGAAATTTAAAAAAAGTGCGTTTGTGTGCAATTCACACATAGTAGAAGTGAAACTTCAGAAAAGTAACCTACGAGAGAATGAGATGAATATAGAGCATCAGGAGTAGGATAATTATAAGGTTTATTTTTTATTAATATTTTTACCAAGTTTTAAAGTTATTTTAAATCACAACGATTCTGAAGAAGTTTCACTTCAAAAACAAGATCTGACTGGTCAACAACTTTTTCGTTTTTATTATTTTTCGAAAAAAAAAATCGCACATTTACTATAAGACTTGTACATATATGATTGATTATATTGTTCCTAAATATTAAAAACAATTTATCCATAATATTCGTTTAGCGCACTTCGCCGCAGTCGGGTAAAAAGAGGTTACAGAGGGGTTATGATTAATTTTCCGGGGCAGAGGCTGACTGCTACCGGACGCGTCCCCCGGGTGGCGGATAGGGGAAAGCCACTCGCGACTGTTCCCCCAGACAGGAGCTTGTGGTACCGGAGCAATCCGGCGCGGACCAACAGCCAGGAGGGGCAGGGGGAGCGGTGTCAGGAGGGCGCCGTCTCCTTCTTGGAGGTAGCGCGGTGTCTCCGGCCGTTTCGCGGTAGGAGGCGCTGCGCGGGCCGTGCTGCCGGGGCTAGCCCGTCGGTGCGGCGGCTGGAGCGGGGCCAGTTCGGTGGTCCTGCGTCTGGCGTGGGTGTCGGCAGCCATTTTGGTCCGGAGGTGGGCCGACGGTAGGGGGGCCTCGGGGGAAGAGGAGTGTCGGTATGGCGATGCGCCGCTCGTCCCTATCTCCCGCGGCCTAGCGGGGCCACCACCGTTGATGGTGGACGCGGTGGGGCTGTAGGGGAAGGGGAGTGTCGGCGTTGTCGCATCCTCTACTCCTGCAGCCGTTTGGGGTGGTTCGGTTTCGGACGCCGTGGAGGTTTGCCCAATTTGGGCAGGAAGGTTTAGGCTTAGGCCGCTTGTTTTTGCAGGTTGCCCACTTCGGTGGGCGGTGTTTGGTTGTGTGGGGCTGCTCCGGGTACTTCTCTGTTCAGCAGAGTGGACTTGGGAGCAGTCTCACGTCTCAGGGTTGCAAGTCTTCCCATAATGGGGTCGTCCCGCTTGGGGCGGCCTCATGGTTGGTGGCTTCGGCCAACCGTCGGGGCGTCACGGTTGTATGCGAAAGCGGTCCCGTGGCGTCCTACATGGCGGCTGTGGGGAAAGTTGGGTTTTAGTGGGTATGCCGGTCTCATTAGCCGGAGAGTCTCCACATAACCACCCTGGGGGGGAAGTCGGGTGGTATCCGTAATAGGATTTCCCAACTATAAAAAAAGAAAAAAAAAGAGAGAGGGGTTATGATTAATTAATTACCATGCCTTTTGTTCTGCGTGAGTTTATTTAATTTATAATTTATAGGTCTGCTATATTATCATCGAATGCATAAATGTTTTATAGGTAAATTCACGCTTGTTAATTCAAATTTGAAATAAATTTTCTTCGATCCTTTTCTATTTTTGTGTTTCGTATTTTTTAGTGCATGCACATAACTTTATCTACTCCATAGGCTTAAGTAGTTAACTAAAGGTAAACAAAGAGGACTTAACAGTCTCCATGAGCTTTTTTGTAATAAAAGGTTACTTTTATTACAAAAATTTTTACACATATTGTCAAGTAGCGATTAACCCTCGCTTCGATCGGGTGCGTTCCTAGCTACGCGGAGTTTGTTCACAATTTCATGGGTTGTAATTTATTGCGTGGAACCTTGATTCTTTATCTAAAATAAAAATAGCCTAAGTTACTCCTTATAATCAGCTATCTGCCAATGAAAGTTCCGTCAATATCAGTCCAGCCGTTTCGGAGAAAATTAAAAAAAAAGTTTTTTTTCTTTTTAGTACCGTATATGCATTTCATATGGATTAGTATAAAACCGTTATTTTGACATTACAAACAGTCATTTCAATTTTATTTATCCGTATAGATAAAATAATTGCATTTTTTATCATTTATTTATTAAATTCACCCACAATCAAAACATCAATAAAATTGGCTTAGACATATACAAATTTATATACAATATAGTATTTAAATTGATGAAGTAATTGATGATATGCTACGGACGACGAGTCTAAGAATATCCATATAGTCAGTCATATTAAAATAAGTAAATAAGTTTGAATTATATGCTGTTGCTGATATTTACTTTTTTACCGGACTGCGGCGAAACAGGGTTGTGTGTTTAACCTGTATATATGTATGTCTGATTCTATGTTCCTTCGTAATCAAGAAACGGCTTTACCGATTTTGATTATTCATACGTAATTCGATTTGTCTTGATAAAGCGAGTATAGACTATAAAGATATTATTAAAAGTCAAAATGGTGGATCCTAGGTGCCACTTTGTGTCTCTTGAAAAAAAAATGTTCGTCCGACTCAATCGAGTGGGGTATCAAAATACAGGTTATTAAGAGGCGATTACAGAAATATTTAAAACTTATATGTTCAACAGTAATTTAGGATAAGAAATTGTTAAATAAAACTAGAAATGTCTAACTCTCCTAAAAAGTAAATAAAAAAATATTTACAAGAAAAACGAACTGCATAAAAAGCGAACTAAAAAGAAGAGAACAAGTTGACGAAGGAACATAAATATTATGCAGATAAAACAGTATTTATCCACATCTCACAATCAAATTATTTGTTTCTATTCCAAAATAAAAAAATAGCTCTCCGGCTTCAACAAATCAACTGATGGAACTGAAACATAGTTTTAAATTATTTATTGATCAACTATCTTAGTACCTATAGTATTTTGTTATATTAAAATGACTAGCATTGCCCGCGGCTCCGCCCGCGTTCATGTGACCAAAACTAAATTCTTAGGTTTTATATATGTATTAGTATACTCGTATTAGTATATTAGTTGACCCGGATAACCAGCTATTACCATACCAAATTTCTTCAGAGTCCCTCCAGTGATTTTTCTGTGATGCGGTCACAGACAGACAGACAAAAATTCTTAAAACTATAGGTTCTGCCTTTGTTAGCAATAATAATGTGTATTTCAATAAAATTTTCCAAAAAATATTTAAAGCACAGATTTGACTTAGAATTTTATTATATGTATAGATGTATATTCTTTTATTTAAAAAGTAACTTAATCATAGATTATTTATGCTTACATTAAGTCTATAATTTATATGGTAATTTTAAAGGCTAATTTAATACTTCTATCTATACTAATATTATAAAGAGGTAAAGTTTGTGATCTTGTGAGTTTGTGACGTTGTAGGGGGTAATCTCTGGATCTACAGAACCGATTTTCAAAATTCTTTTACCAATAGAAATCCACGTTCTTTCTGAGTGTCATAGGCTATATATTAACCAAAAGAATCAAAAGGCTTTATCGTGGTAGTCGGATTAGCAAAGTAAGTCGGAGAAAAAACGGTCGAACGAAAACGTTTCTTACGAACGCTGCCTTAACGATGAGAGTTATACGATTATGTTCTAGAGAAAAGATGTAGAGCTTAATAATGCCTACAAAAAAGTCAGCGACATCATATTATGTCTAACTTTTATATTTAAGTCACAAAAAGTAGTTTTTTATATTAAAAAATAATTTAAATCGGTAAGTCATGTTTATTGGTAATATTATCAACAATTATGAATTCTTATCAAAATAAGTAAATTTATCGTCTAAAATGTTTAAAACAAAAGACTTTTCCCTTATAACTTTCTTAGATTTACGCGAATATTTGACATTTTTAAATAAAACTATCTTTTCGGATT